CCTTTCGTTCCACCCGGATCAGCCGGATTGGCTCATATGGCACGGAAAGAAATGCCACGATGACAACTGCTATCTCGAAGCTTCTCTTTCTACAGATCGCGGCGATAACTGGTCGACAATTAAGCGGCACGTGGTAAAGTGCGAATTTACAGGCTCATCCTCGTATAGGTTCCGCAACTCGACGCAAATAATTTGTCTCGCAAAGACACGAGAGGACAACGAAGCCAATAACCCTCTACAGCTCTCATATAGTGACGAGTTCCCGAGATACAAGATGAGTGTCGCTTTGGAGAATGTCAGCAGTTTCGCAACTATGGCCGAGTTCATCGTAGTTGCTACAGAGAATCGGACGGAGTCAGGCAAGACGCTCAACGCACTCAGTAGTCTAACCGGACGGGATTACGCACCCGCCCATTTCCCGTTCAATTTCGATGTTCCCGCATATACCGTTCTAAAAAGTTCAACCCACGCAGTTAACTTATTTGTTGCAACTAATGAGGAGGAAAACCGCGAGTTTGGATCGATCCTCAAGAGTAATTCCAACGGAACATCCTATGTACTCAGTGTAGCGGGCGTCAATTGCGATAGGGGCCATTGGGTAGACTTCGAGAAGATGCTTGGGTTGGAAGGCGTCGTGCTAGTCAATACGGTTCAAAACAGGGACAGCGATTCGGAGCCGAAAAGGCTTCAGACGCGAATTAGCCACAACGACGGCTCCCAGTGGGGATTCCTCCCGCCTCCCAAACAAGACATGGATGGCAACGATTTTAGTTGCCATAGTCAAAACGGCGATGAGTCGTGCGCTCTCCATATTCATGGCTACACGGAGCGAGCGGATCCTGGAAAGACATATTCTTCAGAGTCAGCTATCGGCATCATGTTTGGCATCGGCAACGTTGGCCCTGTCCTTGGAGATTCTAAAGATGCAGACACATTCATGACAACGGACGCCGGCCTAAGCTGGAAAATGGTGAAAAAGGGAAGTTGGACGTGGACTTTTGGCGACCAAGGGTCCATCGTGGTTCTTGCGCAAAGAAATACCCGGACCAAGACGGTATCTTACTCGCTCGATCGGGGTGATACCTGGGAAGACTATACATTCTCGGACGATGACATGGTGATTACGGATATCACTACTCTGCGGTCCGGTTCGTCTAGGAATTTCCTCCTCTGGGGTCACCAAGGGAGCAAGCTCCTCACCGTGAATCTCGACTTTTCAGGTTTGGGGAGTGAGCCATGCAAGGAAGATAAAGACCCAGATAAGTCCGACTATGAATTATGGTCGCCGGAACATCCTTTGCAGGAGAACCATTGTCTGTTCGGTCACAAGAACTACTACCTACGGAAAAAGAAGGACAGGAAATGCTACAACAGTTTCCAGCTTCAGCCCCTATACATTACAGAGACCTGCGAATGTACTCGATCAGACTTTGAGTGGTAAGTTTAAATATGTACGAACTAGTTTATGAGTACTAATTATGATGCTTCAGTGATTATAACTTCGAATTGGACAACCACGGTCATTGCGAACTTGTCGATGGCCTTAGCCCTCTTGACCCCGAGCAAGTCTGTAAAGAAAACCCCGACCAATTCGAATACTACGAACCCAGCGGCTTCCGCCGAATCCCCTTGACGACCTGTCAGGGCGGTTTCGAGGCAGACAAAGTGCTTAGGTCACACCCTTGCCCTGGCCACGAGGAGGAATTCGAGAAGGCGCGTGGCATTTCTGGCATCGGCATCTTCTTCGCCGTAGTCATTCCTATGGGGGTCGCCTCGGCGGTTGGCTGGTGGGTTTACCAGAACTGGCAAAGCAAATTTGGGCAGATTCGGCTCGGTGAGCAGAGTAGCCTCGACAGCAACTCGCCATTGGTCAAGTACCCGGTGGTGGCTGTTTCTGCCGTGGTAGCGGTGATTGGTGCGTTGCCCCTTTTGATAGGCAGCCTATGGCGCATGGTGAGAGAAAACGTTAGGAGCAGAAGTGACAGCGGCGGGCGCTACAGCTGGCTACGGGGAGGCAACCAACGAAGATATACAACGAGAGACAGCTTTGCCCGAGGCAGAGGCGACTATGCCATTGTTGACGAGGATGAAGGCGAGCTTCTCGGCGACGATAGCGATGACGATGCGTGAGCGACGAGACCTTATTGTTCATGCGTTTTGGGTGTAGGCAAGGAATGAAACGGAATGTACTTGTAACTAGGGGGCGCACTGGTAGGGTTTAGGAAAGTCATGATCTAGATGAGAAGTTGGTAGTGGTGGTAGTAGTTTAAGCTAGAGAAGCCGAGTTATCAAGGTTATCGCCGGCTTCGTCTATACTTGGTACTTGTAGCAAACACGATGGAAAAGACAGTTTTGGATTTGATTTCCTTTCCTCTCTATTTCTCTCTTTTTATACTTGGCATCGTTACTCGGGGTTTAGGAGTAATGGGATGGTATATGTTGTGTGAGCTTGTATTGTGAACTGGTAGTGAGTGGACTTGTGTATCGTTTCCTGCCGACTCGACGATGCCGTTCTATCCGTAAGCCGGACAATAAACAAGCCTACGCATATGCTAGATGGAGGTATCATTCGGATTCTACTACCTACCTAAATTAAATATAGATGCAGAACAATGTAGACGAATAGGTTTTTTCTGCGATTTGGTAAAGTGAAAGGACTAAGCAAATTATGTCCCTGAAATGAATTCTCTACGATACTATGCTCTACGACATGAATCTGGTGCTTAAGGAATAGGGGTTAGGTAGATAGTAAGCAATCTATATAAATATTTAGGCACAATGTCACGGCTGCTAAGGTATTATATAACAGCCTTGTGGTTCTATGTATGTAGTTTATTCGATACTCTCCATAAATATATCCATGCATTAGACATCTATATGTAAGAGAACTTATTACATATGACGACGTTCGATCATTCGCGTACTATGTAAATGATGAAATTCACCATGGCATTCTCCATACAGTATTCCGTATATAAGGTATCCACACAGGACAGAACCAAACCATACCCCCTGAACGTTGTCTTCCCCCCCGGCATACATAGCGCGCTCGGGGCTCGGGATACTACGCCAATGTCAAGTTGTTCCTTGGGAATTACGCGCGATGCCTGTTTTCCATTTGTTTCTTCTCCGTGTTCTATGTATTACCTTTTTCGCGGTTTACCGATTTTATGCAATACTTACTGTGTTAGGTACATGATGCAGGTAGCTAGTATGTAGGTATTGTAATTTTTCATTAATTAATTGATCTCTGGCTGCATCGTGCAAGGTATGTAGGTAGGTAGATTCAGAAAGATAGATTATGCACATCCCCTAGCTTTTCCCTAATCAAGCTCACACCTCCGCATTTGTATGTATGCAGAGTAGAGATCTCTAAGCAGCTAATATATCGAGTTATTTAATGTGTTCATTGTGTAATGAATTAAATAGAATTGTCTTCAATAATCCAAGACGCCACGCAGTAAGAAATATTTACACGTGTATTCATTCTTTTTTTTTTTGAATCCTCGGAACACCCTCCGTACCTATCTACTCGATAATACATGTAGACCGTTTTCTAGTTTATCAAGCCACTTAAGCATCTTCTATACCATCTTCCATCTCACTTCCATCTAGCGGTCAGCCCATTCAGCCCAGCCTATCCGGCCAACCTCCCAAACTCGACGAACTTATGGCGCCGCCAAGCATATGAGAACTAACATATGTAGAAAAAAAAACGCCGCCAAGCCGAAGCTAGACAACCGCTTACATGTATAGATTGGTACTACCTACCTTACCTGCCTACTATCCGTACCGTAGTGTACCTAAGTAAGTTTAGACGACTCGGCGAGTACGGCATGATATCGCCGTGAAATGTAATCCGTAGGACTGGATGAGTACGCGTACCTGCAGGACGCGGTGGATATCTACCTGTCCTACCTATCTACCTTAAGATTATATATATTATCGATTATATTATCTATCTATGTATACCTATCATAGTACATTATCTAACTAGTCTATCTAAGCAACCAGACTATAATAAATAGAAACCCGCACTAGTAACCACCCTAAAATAATCCTGCGCCTATCTTGACTAATAACAACTTAAATACGTCTGACGCAACTTCCTCTATACCCGCCTGCTAGTACGCTAACGTTTCAACGACGAAGCTACGTTAGTTCATTTTCTCCCGCCACGAGAACTCGCGTGTTACTAGTGGACGCGAGAAAGCCGTAATAGATTAGCTATGCAGGTGATCTGATCATCACCTCTCCACCGCTCCGAGCTGAGGGATCTGCGTGTCCCGCATGAACCTATAAGCACCCCTAGTCGATCTATACCCAACATCAGCCTACCTAAGCTTAAGTAGTCCCGATAGTGCATATACTATTACTACCAGTCCGCGCCTACGCATAACACTTTTCGAATTATTGAATTTTGCCATCGGACTCCCGAAGGAGAAAAAAAGAGTCAAGTTCAACGGTCCCGAATACCTCGGTCCGGATACAGTGTATTGGAAACATAAAGCTAGCTAGCTAATGCTATGGGTGGACAACTTTCAAGTAGTAGTCTAACAGGACGTAGTAATAAAATAGACTATCGTTTGCTTTCTACTCCTGCTATTCCCTAAGACATGTCTCGTACCGGGCCCTGTAAACAAAACAAAAAAAAAACGGCCTTACAACGGTCGATAACATTTTGATACCTCGCCAAAAACCCCTTCGTAACTCCAGGCAATGATTGATTGATTGTGTTTCCATGTACATGAACGCCAGTTTGGATATGCTTGTCGCAATCCCATGTCATTCGTTCTCCGCGACTGTTAGGCGTGAGGTTCGTTTCGCAAAATGAATAGTAAAAAGTATAGGACCGACGTGAGACAAGAAGAGTCTAATAAGATGGGTAGTAATAAACGTCATAGTGAGAGGTCTACGTTGACAAGTCGCGCAACCACGGGGAGTGTGTTGGCCGTTGTGATTGATCATTCTCGATATAGCTAGCATGATATCTGTATAGCTTAGCTTCGTCGTACTCGATTCCAGAAGCGCTTCACAACATTGCTGTCCGTAGGAGCAGGAAGACCGAGCTCGTGGTCAATATCCGCGAAAATCTTGTCCATACTCTCTTTAGCACCATGACTAGTATACGGAGCAGAGATGGGAGTATCATCCCGTAATGCAAGCACTTGTGACGGTTTGCTGGAATACGGTCGCGGCGTTTGTTGCCACCCGTATAAATTGTCTTCGCAGGCCCGTAGATCGGGTCGCGTAAGCGTCATGCGTAGCGTCATCTCACGGGAAGCTGCAGGTACTTGTGCATAAGTTTCTGGATGTCTAGATGGATAGTCATTGGTGCGAGGTCGCTGAAGCGACTTGTCGTGTTTGTCTAGCGTGTCGGGGGTTCTAGGTGACTCGGGATCTGGTAGCGATGCGTCGTCGCTGTAAATAGATGATTTATCATCCTCCAGGAACGTCTTGAACTTCTCCGAGTCTGGAGAAAATATCCCATCCGATTGGCACTTTGCGCTTGGTAAATCCCTATATGGAATTGCCGAAGAATCACTCGAAGGGAAACCAAACTCGATTGCTTCGTCGAACTTCTGCGGCGAAGCTAGATATACTCGTAGTTTCAAGCGCGCCTCGGGATCCTGATAGTGAGTAGCGCCGGGGTCGATTGAAGATATCGATTTGTGGGCAGCATGCTTCGGAGTGATAAGCGACAGCGCCCTAGATTTCCGTCGTCCAGGTTGGGGAAAGCCTACCAAGGTAGCAGAAGTGGAGTTAGCAGAAGGCGGTGGTTGTTGCGCATCCTTTGTTCCTGGTCGACTTGAGATAGATGTGCGACCAAATGGGACCTTGGAGAAGGACATATGTCGACGGAACGAAGGGGGCCTTGGGTCCTTAGGAGCCATAGGCACCGACTCCCTCAAATTCACATGATAGTCGTCGAGAGCAAGTCGTAGATCGAGATCCTCCTCTTCATCCAGCCATCGGAAGCTGTCGTAAAGTGAGTCGCGCTTTCCAATGGAAGCATTGTCGCTTAGTAGAGACTCCATACTAGGTCGCTCAGATGAAGACAAAGTTGGTGGATAGACTGGAGGTGGTGAAGGGCGTCTGTTCGCAAGACGGCCGGCCTTGAAGAATGCTTCGTCAGCAGCATCCAATATGACACTCTGCCTTAACTGTCTGGCAACGAGGACCTGCTCCTCTCTAGTCAGGTGCTTCTCTCTAATCTTAGCGGGAAGCTTAGCCAGGAACGCGCAATCGGCAGAGAATACGTTGTCCTGACAAGTTGGAGAGGTAGTCGGTCGCTCTAGTGGTCTACCAGGAACGATAGCGCCGAGCGATGCTCCACGACGTTGATGATGTCGACGGAGTTCCTTGTCGGGTGGGCTCGAGGGGTCCAAGACACCAATAGTCTGAGCAAGACGTAAACGCTCCAAGGTGGAGAAATACTGTAGAAAGGAGGGGGCAAAGATTTAGTAAAAGCGTTCAAGACTTGAAGATGACTGGTAGAAAAGGCAGAATTCAGAATTCAGGTAATAATGTTATGCAATATGTAAAGGGAAGGGGTCAAAGTGTGCCGTGCTGCAGGAACGGGCATAATTGGCATAGAAGGAAACACCCATGCATGCAACAAGTGCTATGAAGAGCGTTGGCTTGCACTGGCAGTGGCCCAAAGCGTTCAGACCGTTGCAGTTGCAATATGCAGTAATATGCAAGGTAGTTGTGCCTGCTGCTTAATGTTGCTTAGCTAGCAGCCTATAAGCGAACAGCTTTGTGACTTCATTGGCGACTTGTTTCCCAGCGTTCCTTCGCACCCCCCTTTCCAACGTCGATACGAATATCCCAATTGGCAGGAAGCACTTGCCACGCAAAGTTGCGTCGGCGCGTTTCTGCAACTCTAGTCTTATAAGACTACCCAATCCGAAAAGGACTTGAGCTAGAGGGGAGAAATAAGAGATGTGAAGCCCCACAAAGTGCCGAAGGAGTTCCAGTCCCGCAAGGACGACAAGGACGAAGGTATGTTGGTCTAGAATGCAGTCGCGTTTTACACGTGTAAACACCTGCGATCGTCTTTTTTTCTTTCCCTTTCGTACCTTTTTTTTTTCTTGTCTTCCCCTCACCTGGGCACTTATCGTTCCATGATCGTGTGTAACCAACCGTAAGGTAGTATCGATAATATAGTAAAGACAAATGGAAGTGAAATAAAATATTATAACGAAAAAAATATATATAAAAATAAAAATATTGTAACTTACTTTTCGCCTGATGGCTATGGGAAGAGCCTCAAATTCCTCAATTTCTTTTCGCGTGAGATGTGGATGCGGCGGTAGCGTCATATCGTAATTAAGCTGATCCCTCTCATTTTTATTAGTCTTCTTCCAAACCGTACTATTGCTATTGACCGTCGTGCCTAGCCATTGTCGGAGCGAACTAAGCGAATGATGATTTGGGCCTGAATGGCCTCGGTGAGAATGCGCCTTCGAAGGTTGCGTCAGTTCGTGTTGCTGTCGGGCCTGATCGAGAAGGCTGTTGTGATAATCCACCGTACTACGTAAATCAACAATAGTATTGGGGCGGGCCGCTTGAATGTCTGGATAGTTCCCTTCGCCTGCGAGTTTGCTATTTGCGCAATGCCGCCGCATTGTTAATGTAGTAGGGCCGGATTAGTTGGTTCGGGCGCCAGAGACCATTATCTAAAGTTTAAAATGAATCGGGAAAGATAGATTTAGATTTAGATGCACGAAGGCATAATTGCTCCTCAAAAAGACACAATCTTTGATGGAAGCAGCAGGAAAAGAAGATTAGGTTCAGAGAAAGGAGTTGAATGTAATGTAATGAATAATACGAATTGCGTAGATACCAAGTGATAAAATTGAACCCAGTGTTGATCCAGTGCGCATTTGTCTAGAGAACCAGAAGAAGAAGAGAGAGAACAGGCACTACGTCAAATGAGTAGAATGGGTAACAGTATCACACGGGATGAAGCTCTTGAATAAGTGCCTGAATAAGTGCCTAACAGTGCGGTTCCCGAATACTGGGAATTTCAGGATCCCAGCCGTAACCTTGACTAGGAAACCTTGACTAGGATATTGACCGTTTTTTTGCCCTCGCCAGCCCTTGTCAAGGTACTTTAGTATTTCCTAGTAACTAAGAATCATTATTGGAGGGAAGGCTTGATGGGGATGAAAGTCTAGTCCATAACAGGTTACGCCAGGAACGACGTATACCATATGAGGAAATAAACTGGAGAAAGAAGAACAATTCGTGGGGTTCCACCTATCAAAAACGTGGTTTAACACCTCCATCAGCACCAGTACACACCTTGTCATCCAGTCACCATCCCGAATTTAAGGAGCTTGGACCTTCTGACTCCTGTGCCCCTGGGCCTGTGCTTCTGGGCCTGCAGCTTAATAGGTACCTACGCCTCCTAGGCCGACGTAAGCTAAGAGCTACCATATTATATAACTAGCACAATAAGAACAATAAGTTATGTAATTATGTACGTGCATTCCACCATCAACGGCATTCATTCAATTTATTAGAAACTCTACATTTGTCCTACATCCCTCTTTGAGTGCCGAGTATGCGTTGTGATACCACGCGCAGCTTCTATCAATACTCGACTACTATGTATTACGATATATTAAATATTTTGATATATTAAATATTATGATATATTAAAGGAATGATGTTAGGATGTGTAAATTTGCCGCAGCGCAACCAACCCACATATGTACGTGCCTGTTTCATCCACATCACCATCACCATCACCATCACTTGATGCCATGGCGGTTATCTACACACAAATGACCTCTTTATACTATTACGGAAGAGACTGAACTATTCAAATATATATATATATATATATATATCAGTCAATGTCAATAATTTTTATTGGGTCAGCTGTCCACCTTGCGGGCATCATACCGCAACTCATATAGACTAATTCTAAGTTAGTTCTGTTCTTAAGCCTTGTCAGTTATCGGTATATTCCGGCCAAAACGGCACGTTTCTGAATCACACACGGACCCCGAGCGCAAGACCCTGTGATAATATAGAGTTGTGCGGCTACAATCAATGCTAAACCATCTCATGGCCCAGATTTGACGCCTTCATCCCGAAGCCCCCTGTATCATAAATCTAGTTTCGTTTCCCGTCGACCTTAAGCCTGCTAAGCATAGTCAGACTCTTGGAAACGATGAGACGGTGCTCTGTACAGATTGTACTACTCTACGGCAGCGGAGTTGCCGAATGGTCCTTTCAGCCTTCGGCTAGCTAGCTTTTAATGAGCTCCCGCCCTGGTTTTAAGAAACGACTGGGGGTCATATTCTTTCTAGAAGTAACTAAGATGAACTAACTTATCATACGCTAGACACTCTTAGTCTCAGATCACGGTGGCTATGCACGGTGGCTTCAATCAGAAACTAAAAACTATGGAAGAATGTTGTACATATGTAAGGGCAAATGGCAACATGCCATCACATCATTATCCGTGAGGGGAAGGTTATCGGTGGTGAGCTTTGACGGGATCGACTCTCGCGATAATAACTTAAAAAGCTCAAGCTATTATATGCGTGACTATGCGCTACTGCGAGGCTATTGCACGCGCCTGAAACGCACATCATCTTCCTCTTTAAGCTACGCACTGACCATACCATCATGATATATATGCATGACAAGAACTCACAAGACTGAGAAATCCGGGGTGAGCTTGGAAACTAATACAACAGACTTATTATCTAAATTATATGTATAAGGATGATGCTTAACCATTACACTAAATAAACTAACGATCTTACTAAGGAGGAGATCACAATACGTCAACCACCTGACAGGTAGAGTGTCCGTGCTGGCACACTCCGGAGACAAAACGACCCGAGTTAATAGTCTGAGGCTGACCAGCATCTAAGTAATTAACCGAAGCAGTAAAAACCAACACAAAAACCCTCACTTCCCGGCCTTATTTGGCAAGACTTCTAACAGATAGTAAATAGTTCCATGTACCTTACGTACTTAGTTACCCTAGAGTATAATAAAATACGCCCTAAAACCTCGATTAAGTGTTTTATTTGCTGATGCATGTCCTCCTCAATACTCCCCAATCAACCCAGTTTGTTGCCGGCTAAGGGGACGGACGGCCTACTGGGATCCGATAATGATGGCCTTCATTTCGATTTTTTCAATAACAAGCGACCTCTCATCGTCTACAAAAATCTCGCCTTACGATCGAAGATATGGAAAGGAATACTTCATAAGTAGAGAGATAGTACATAGATAATTAGTAGGGCTTCTGATAATACAAGTAGAGTATGAAGAAGTTGAGAAACTCGCTCAAAGGGCTTATAACAATAGTCAATGAGTTTTAGGGCTGAATGACCTCGTCAGTTCTAGCTACAAGGACTGATATATATGCTTTCGCTCTACTCGAGAACAGTAAACCGGATGAAGCCAAGGAAGTCATGGCTAGTTTTTATCACGATTCCACCATACCCAAGAGGTCAATCCCGCCTTGTTCTACATAATTGAAGAGAGTCTTGGTATTACTTACCACCAATAAGGTCGATACCGTAAATCGCCGAAGCAACTAGAAGCTACTGGAACTGCTCGTATAGGAGTACAAAAGATTTTCCCGTAACTAGAAGGTCATTTAGGGTGACATATACGTTTCTTACTACCTATTCACGCGAGGTTAAACAGCACTAAAGCTGTTCAACCTCTTTCAGCGACTTTCACCACTTTCCCAAGTGATGGACCTGGATAACGTGTGTGAAATGTCGTAAATGTCACGATAGACGTAGGTGGCCTGTTAATTGAGGCCGATATGGATGAAGTAGCCGATAATGTACTCTTTGGCTGCCTCGTCTGCACAAGCCAGTTCTTGGATATTTCGGATGGGTACACTCTCAATTGTTGTGACGAATTTGCTGGGTTATACTACAAGCTGCGGGGGCGGCAGTATGCAGAGCAACTAATCCGAGTTGTCGTGGGAGCGCTACGATTACGAGACCCCAAGCATTATTCTGGATGGAAGATAAAAAATAAAATAAAAAGAGAAGGGGAGGAGGTTTCCTCACGTCAGATTATTGACCTCGCCTGGGTCGTAGAACGCCAGAGAGAACTTTAAAAAGCACTTGCGATCTTGGAGTAGAATTTGAAGGTCATAGCATGGAAGCTGTCCACAGCAATCGAGTGTACCCAGCATTTAGCCAAGTGCCATGGACTTTGCGGCAACCTCAAGAAGACGAAATTGCGTTCAAATCAATTGTAAAATTCCCATAGATTGCTTGGTCACGGCCATGATCATGAACAATATTCTGGTCTTTTCTAGAGGTAATGCAACTCAACTGTTCGCAATATATCTCAAACATAAGAGCTTCCAAACATAAGAGCTTCCCTTAGGTGAAAGATCGATTACATCAAAACACTACCTAGGCGTGGCAATGATCGGCTTGTCTCCGGCGAAATACTCGCATACCTTTTGCAGTGAGAATAGTCCAACCCCCCCTTTCCCATACACTACTCAAAGCTATAGTCATAACCATGAGTCCAAATGTGATCCCAATGTAGCTCCTCAACTGGCTAGAAGAGGTAGATCCCGTGTCGCCGTCGTATTGAACAATGTTAGTGCTGAATATAGCCTATGAAGTATTATTAGTTAGCTTCAGTCCCCGCCGTAATAGGTTTTAGAGTAGAGTCGTACTGCGACAAGATTTGCAGGCAAATATATGATAGTCGTCCAGGTAAGGATTCGCATAGATCTAGACTCTACCTGTGTATCTTTCGCTGCTAGAAAGAGAGCCTGTGCATGCTTCTCCGACTGTTCGAGTGTGGCATGGGTAATCGCCGACTCTCTCTGTGTAGTCTCGTCATGCCTAAAGTCAAGAATCTCCAGGAGCTATTTGGTGTGAGTCTAATCCTGCTAATTTGAAGTTTTGGACTGACTAGTCTTGATATGCCATCTGATACGTCCAACAGTCTGTCTATGGCTCGCTTATATATCCGCATCTTCGATTGAAAAACTTTGATTCGTGATTTGACTTCGTCTAAGCGAAGCAACATGCCCCGTCTACCGAGGTAGAAAAAGTGATCTTGAAATCCAACCAAGGTTTCAGACGTTTGATCGATGGCTGACCGAGCCCTTAAGAGCCGCCCCCTCGTCTGCTGGAAGTCCTGGCTGTCGCTAAATGCTAATATATAGTCATATTTCGATGGTCTACCAACTCTCGAGAAGCAAGCTTTTTCATTCTAGTGATAAATGAGGCTTTAGTATAAGCTTGTATTTTCGTTGCTTCGAATTACTCACGAATGACCCAACTTCCTGCTCAAGATGATTGATGTAGTCTCTCCATTTTGACTCCGTGAGGCCAAGGATAAGAGAATGAACCAACCATTGATAGTCCAATTCGGATGTACTTTTTGGTAGCCGTAGTTGTGCCAATAAACGCTTGATTTCACTTTCAATTAAAACGGAAGGTTGGAGTAAAACCCACCGGGATTTATGTGATCCTAGATGACAGCTATGATAAACGGCTAACTGGCGGTGAACCCATGGATATTCCTGTGGTCGGTCTATACGCTCCGGGTAGCGTATGTTGTAGCAAAGGTCTGTGATCATTTAGTAATTCAAAACAAACCTCTTAGCCCAGAAGACTTACCATGCTGAATATGCCCCGATCCGTCAATCGAAACACTGTGTCGATCATAGCCCCCGAAATCCTCGTCTATCCTGCTTGCTTTGAACCCAAATAGACGGATAAAGTACCACCATCTATCACAAGCTTGAATGAAGGATACGATTTGTTGAAATGAGTGCTGGGAGATTCGAAGGCGGCCCCAGGAGTTCTGCTGTCGAATGATACTAGAAAACTCAGCCATGTCTTATAGAGCAACATGGGTGGAAAGGGGGATTCAATTCATACGTCATACTAAGTCCACAATCATTATCTTTCAGCTTTCGTTATGGAACAGCGTTAGTTTCATATTCCGGTCACCGGTTCAAGGCTCACCGGGAATAGGACGTTGGTGAACTAACAACAGACAGGAGCCTCTTGAGGTGTTCGTGGTCTAACACATCCTCGGAACGAAAAGCTTAAATTGTTATTCTCGATATTGAATCAAGTGCAGAATTCTGTACTTACATGACTTTCCTTTGTGGTCGAATACGGTGAATTGCCGTACATCCCACGACCCAGTCTTTATGAATAGTCTGTCTAAGTCCTGATCCATTCTGTTGACGAAGTGAGAGTTCGAGTACGTGGAGTGAAGGATGGGCTGTCCTTGGATTGTTGCTATTTATGCAAAATAGTTAATTAGGCTGGCGAGGCTGCGAGGTTGAATATAGATTCACAGCCTCAGATAGCGAGTGAATCGAACGATTACCTAATCATTCGGAAAGAAAGAACTCGAAATATCGCTTATAAGGACACTCCTTACCAACTAATCCTTCGCTAGGAAGCTAGCAATAAACGATTAAAGGCCTCTGCTACCATGATGTACCTTTCGTAAAAATGAATATCCGTTCCTCTCCCCCACCCTTGGATTCCTGCGCCTGTGATTTTCGACGTAACTCGACTCTTCGACCCCACGACGGAGGAATCTCTACCCCGAAGTGCCTTAACGACCGGGAAAAGACACAAGGAGGTTAATATAGATCACGTGAATTCTATAGTGAGTTCTTGCCTCTGTTTAGGTTTTAAGTTCCTAATGCGACACAATTCCTTGAACTTGGATAACCACGGTCATTACTTATCCGGATAAATACTATTATGAAATATATTATGTGTTCGTAAAATTAAAGAGACATGTATACAAAGACGTTTGACTCCTATTGATGCTAATGCAAAGCAAAGCAAAGGTTTGGTGGCGATAGTACGGACTTGAATATCCAGAAACTACTTGTGTCCAGGTGGTGATGGACTGGGTGGTCGGGACTCGCTGAAAATGATAAATAAGTTCTGACTGCCGCTTGATAGTTGTCTCCCATCTTGACCTTCAGGCCATAAACAGGCCTCCCGGAAGGAAATCTATCGGCTTCTGTGGGATTGGCTGACAGACTTATAAGTGATTCTTTTAGTGTACTCAAGCTGCTAGCTGGATTAATCCCCGAGAGATAGATTCGATTCGCGTGACAAATTGTTTCGCTGCTTCATATTTCCAACGCCCGTTGTAGTATATCTACTCAACTAACGCGCTTTTCTTCCCATCCCATGAGTCTCCAGGGACTCCCACGGACTGGGATTCGCTGTTTCGTAGATATCTTGGAGGTCGGCTATGTCAGCGTCTATCTAAAATCTAGGGCTTTTTAATGGGTTGGTATCGGATAGGTTTATTAGGCCTGTCATAGCTGCTATTAAGGTGAACCTTAAATATCGAGCTTTGATCAAGGATTAATCACCCTGAGACGCTAATGGCTCAAGATCTTCGTTCGTAGTTAGAGACGTCTCGAGAATGAACTTGTTATCACGAGGTAAGACACTGCCAGAGAGAACCCTTGATGAATATCATGCGTAGAGTAAGTGCTAGAATCAGCAGCGAAGCTGCTGTATAGTGGTCATGTAGTAATATGAATCTATAACACTTAACCTTATATCCGGCGCTGCACGCCCCTTATACACCTTTACCATGTAGATCTATGCTTATCCACGAATAACTCCACTTATACACTGACAAGCAGAAAGCATGCAAACTTCATTGTTCCTTGCAGAGCTCTAAGCTAACTATGGGAGTTTATGGCTATAGATACTGGTAGTATATTTTGCTCTATGTAGATGTATCGTCTGGAATCCTAACACTCGTCCTACTTGCGTGTACCTGACAGCAATGAATCTAGACTATCTAAGGATTCGTGTATGCCATCCCGAACACCTCGTGGTAAAGTGCTGGATCGCACTGCTTTCATATCATAATCCAAATAGGTTTCTAGCCCGATAAGATGCCCCTGAAGCAAGTCATAAGTGTTACCCTGTTTGGCAGTGAGTGGCAAGTCAGTCCATGCGAGATTATTCTTGTTGAAGCCGATCGCTTCGCCGAAGAGGGTGAAACGCTTAAACCCATCCGAGACCACGCTATCTTTTGCTTTTTTCTCGAGTTCCGCAAATTTTATGCTTAGAACGCCGAAGCGAGACTTTGCTGCTATGAAGTCCATCCTCGAAGATATGTCTTTGGCGCTAGGCCGCTGATTTGGGTCAAGTTGCAATATGTCGCGTACGAGTGAGATCAGCCCACGAGCCTCGGGAGTAGAATTGATTCCTATCTCTTCCAACCATTCGTAGACGGCGGGATTCTTTTCCCCAGCGTGATGGAAGGTGTATGTCGTCCAGGTGTAGAGCGTATGCTTGCGTTTCTGCTCAAACTGGGCAACACCCTCAGAGCCTTTCACCATGTACGTCACAACTACAGCGAGTATGCATCCCAGCGCCCAGATGTCACTAGGTTGTCCGACTTTCTTGCGCTCGAAGCCGTCGTAGATGACACCCGACTCGGGTGGAATATAGAATCCCTGTACGTCTCTCGAAAGTGTCTTAGAGTTGGCAGACATAGACTTCAATGATGAAAGACCAAAATCGGAGAGTAGAAACCGCGTGCCGTGGACGAGGATGTTCTGCGGCTTGAGATCGTGATGATAGCCTTTCAACTCCAACCCGTACTCAACACTTGTCACATGGTGGAAACTTGCCACAGCAGAGCATAGACCCTGTAGTGCTTGATAGAAGCTGTCATCAGTTGCTAGAGCAACAGTACGACTGGGTGAACGAAGTAAGGCCTCGAGATCGCACTCGGCACGCTCAAAGATCAGATTGTAAGTTCCTCGGTAGACGTAGGACGTTATAAGTCTGACTATGCTGGGGTGCTTCACAAGACGAAGCTGCGATAGTATGTGGATTTCAGACGCGAGGCTTTCCATATCGCGTTTACCAGATGGATGATCTAACTTTTTTCGGATCAAAGTTAAGTCCTGCAATATGTGAGTTTTATATACTACATATAGGTGGGGGGATTGACGGGGAATTACCACTGGCAGGAGAAGAGATAGAGGATCTCCATGGTGCTCTGGATTCAGTTTAATTTCGTAAACAGTGCTGAAGCCTCCGGATCCTATCTTCTTATTCTCGGTGATAGGAAGAATAGTCCCTAGGTCGAAATCTCGGTGGGATGCGTCGCCTCGGATGCGCGGGGCCAACACGCTCCATTGTTTGCGGTGAAATAGGTTTCCATTGGTCTCGCCAAGTATATGAACGAGATTATCTTTGTTAAACGGAAGCTTGGCGTCGAGTGGCTGATCCTGCATATGATCATTCTGGATAAAACGAACAATGTCCTGTTCCTTTCCTATCATGATGAGTATAGCAAATATCTTCTTCCCCCCGGCTAGCACTGCCTTGCGAACTTCATCCTGGTATTGAGGCATGATCTTGGACTTAATAACATCCGAGATGGTTTTCTCATCGAGTATAGCGTTCAGACGAGGTTCAGGCAAATACCATTTCGTTTCGTGGTTTTCTACTAGAGATCTCTCTAGTCGGTCTCTAAGCTTACTCATTTTGGTGAAGTTGGCCTACGCCCTGTTTGTCGACTGCTTGTGGGATTAGAAAGGACGGAGTGATTCTATATCCGACTATATTCATGTTAGTGGCAGTTACGACACACGGCGCTTAATCGAGGGTTATAGAAGTTACTGTACGCGTACAATCGAGAGCTCGCGTGGTACTGCGAGGATGTATTTATCCAAAGTCTCCTAGGATATCATTAGCAGATCGGGAATAGCTTGAGCTGGATCTGAGCGGCATTTACCTCAACTTCGTAGCTGCCCGATCCGAACCTATTGTTGAGTAGTGCTAGGAGTTTCGCCTTGCTCAAGTAGCGTTTTTCAATCGCCTGTTGCATACTATAGTCCTAAGAACGTTTTATCTACTTGTTGTTGCCGATAAAAGTCCAGAATTGCTCTCTATGGGTTGTTAAAGTCTAAGTTTAAGTAAATACCTCGCTCCCTAGAAGTATTGAGAATGATTATGAGTCCAACTACGCCCAGAAATATACCGATTAAATTCTTCCAGAAAGGGCAATAATAGCATAGCCACGCGTTAACCATATACTTATTATTTCATATTCCGGTACAAATACTTCGTACGAACAAGTAAACAGATGTTTACTTACCTGATTTAGCGTGGTTGTCGTATATATTAAGGAATGACGTTTGTGAAATTACAAGATATATTTTAGTTAGGTATGCGGGCAATCCGACGACCGTCTATTCAATTAGATAGGTAGGTACCTATGTTTGATTTATTAATTGACTTGATTTAGATAAGCTGACTTGGATGTTTAAGATAAGTTTATCGCCACGGTCAATTTAGCGAGAAAGATTGTAAGCATCTTACTATAACTACTACATGTATGCTCATTTATTGAAGCTAGCTTATTCTATCCAATGTTTTATTTTGCCAGCATTGATAAATCTATTTTTTATAAAAAATAAGGGATAATAATAAATTCATGTGATAAAACGTTCAAAAACCGTGAATGTTGAAATGATTTCGTAATAATAAATAAAAATAATTAATATGATTATCATGAGGCTGAAACCAGAATGTGTCATCTATTGAAGATGAAGGAACCCAAAACATCATATCCTTACGGCCAGCCGCAAGGCCTTGTTTATATAGGTTAGGTACCTCATCAATAACAAAGAAACAAAGCATCTGGCGGAACGCTAAATAACATTGTGACTTTGTATCAACCGTGACAATAATACTATAATTTATATAAAAATCTTGATAACTATTGTTTAGCGAAGCTAAACAACTTTTTGACTCGACATGGTACTTTTTGGTTTCAGCCTCTTCAGCCTCGCGATATATCTAAGTACACAATTCTTGACTTACAAGTATATCTCTATCAGTGGCTGTACTACGCTTTCCTGTATCAAGAGTAGTCCCTCCCTTTTTTTGACAGTTTACCACCCCACTCTTGGAGCGGGGTAGGTCAATCAAGGACGTCATACGTCATGAGGTATGTACATTACCGGGAGGGGTTTATTGACATTATGTCAGCAACAGTGTTAGTGTAATTACAGGTCAATAGGTACCTACAATGTCAGCAAAGGCTTGTTGTACCGATTTAATCGCGGCAGGTACTTACAAGTTAGTCCTAGAAGACACTATGTTAGGTAGGTGTCTATAATCTTAGAGATACTTTCGATGTTTAGATAGTTAGTATGTTTACCAACATGTCAGTATCAATACGATGTCACTCCCGGTCTGGAGTATGTATATATTGCAATACGGTAAATCTAATTGTTTGTAATAACCTTGTAACCTAGGTAGTGAAATGGTAAATAGACGTAGCCTGTGATCTCATAATAGTAGTAGTTCAAGTATTTTTCTAGATTTTTTTATATGTCTATGCACCTACCTACATGATACATTATTACAGGACCTTCTATTCTTTTTTATAATTCTTAATATATTAGATTTCCTGGACTGACATAGTATCGTACGTGACATATATGATTGGAGAGCGTGACTACTGTTGGCAATGATGTTTAAAAAGCTACTTTTCTCCAATATATCAGTATTGTGAAAGCAATACAATTACAATGAGATATAAATTATAATCGTGTACGTACGGTAGCTATTTCAGATGTGGTTATTCTTATAATTTGGATACGATCACTCTTAACGGTGAATACATCATAAGGAGCAGTTAATCAGCCGGAGGGGCTGATTCTTGACTACTACATGGCCGACACTATGTCCACACCTTATCACTATTGCTGACACCATGTCAGTAGACCCCCCTACCCGCTAATGTATGTATCTAACATGTGAATGGAACCAAACACGCCCAGACACCTAACCTACGCAGCCACCAACGTATCCAACGGATCATAATACCTATACACCTTCCCCTCCTTCTCCCCCCTCGTCAGCGACGGCTGCGTAAAAGTCGACACCCCCGTCGTTCGATCGTACGACTCGCGGAGCGCAGCAGGCCTCTTGCCGCCGCCCTCGGGCAAGTCGACGACGAACCTGGGGATGTAGAATCCGGCCACCGTGCCCTGGATCGCCGACTCGATGTCCAGGATCGTCTGTAGCGGCGTGCGCAGGTGCTCGATTTTCTTCACCATGTCGCATTGGTAGACGTAGTACTGTTTGGGCAGCGGAGTTGAGGTTAGCAAGGTAGGTAGTTGTGCCGTATTAGGGAAAAGGGGGAGAAATGAGAAAAGGAGAAAAGAAGAAAAGGGGGAAAGGGAAAAGGAGACGTCTCACCGGCTGAATTCCCATCCTCGCCAACCTCTTAACAAGCGTCCCCATAACCTCAACACTATCATTAACTCCCCTAAGCAGCACCGTCTGATTCCGCACCGTCATACCCTTCTGCATCAGCCTCAAACTAGCCCGTTCCGTGACCCACGAAATCTCATTCGAATGGTTGAAATGGGTATGCAGCGCCATATGCTTTCCAGCCTGGCGCGCCTTATCCGAGACGCGGATCAGGGTATCCGTCCACGGGTCCTCCGTATCGAGGAACCTATGCGGCGACACGGCTAAGCCCTTCGACGCGATGCGGAACCGCTCGATGTTCTTCATGCCGATGAGCCGGTCGCCGATCCACTCGAGGATGTGCGGGGCCAGGTAGAAAGCGTCGCCGCCGGAGACGACGATGTCGTGGAGGCCTTCTTGGCTCTCGATGTAGTCGAAGGCTCTAGTGAGTCTGTCGCGCGTGGTCCGGAAGGACTCCTTGGTTACTAGCTCGGTGTCGGCGCCGATGCCGTAGGATCTGGTGCAATAGAGGCAATAGGTTGGGCAGACCGAGGTTGCTAGGACTGTTAGCGGTGGTTAGAATAGATGTTTGGGTGGAAACTTACGGAGTAGTAGCGCTTTGTCGGGATAGCGATGTACGACAGCAGGAACTGGAGAGTCTTTCTGCTCGTTCAAGGAGTCAAGCTTAAGTGCGGGATGGTCTTTCATCATTATAGACCCCAAGGGAATAAACTGCTGGAAGATTGGGTCGTTCGCTGGATCCTTCCAGTTTATTCTGCTTAAGACGTACGGCCTATTCCAAGTTAGAGCTGAAATAGTCATACCAGCCGATAGCCTCTTTTATGCTTGTGTCTTCCTTATTTATTTATCAGGGTACTCACATCACCCGAACAGACATGGTAGATTCCCTCATCCCACTTACAACATCCCCCATAAGCTCTTCTCGACTCTGTATACCCCCTATTCGGTGGTGACGAGGCATCTCAGCTGGAAGGACATTGTCGAGAAAGTCTAGCATTTTATCGGCTAATAGCTTGCGGTCGCGTCCTAGCTTGGCCTCGACGACATTCTAAATCGTTCAGCGAGTGTAGAACAAGAGGAAGAAAAAAGAGGTTGAGCCTACTTTGACGCCCCATTTCCACGATAGAAAATCTTCTCTGGGCACATCCTTCCATAATGGAATAGCGCGCCAGAACTCGTCTTCTGGTTCAGAGAGGGTCGCTGATTGTGATACAGGTGGCAGAGGAAGTTCACGGGTGGTTTCTGATGTGAATGAACGTTGAGGATGGAAGGTAGGTATTTTTCTTGCTAAGTAGAATGAAGTCTGCGGTACACTCAAACCCCTCAACCCTCTTTTACCACGAAGGAGAACTCGAGGCCCGAGACGAATACAGAGAGACATTCTTCGTTTGGGGGTGTTATACTATCAGCTAATTGACGATGTAAGAAGTAAATATTCATATATAATTTGAATATGTGCTTCTATGACTTAATGACATACTAGAAACATCCTAACGAAGATCAATTCAAGACATTGGAAGCGCCATCCTTATATAGCAGTACAAATCAGTTCTAGAATATCAACATTATAGACTATCAGGATCAATCGCTGTCGTCAGCTTCCTTGATACAACACCATGTTACCATCCTGTTTCCCCGGGTCGGGTCTGCGACTAACGCCAGCGTCCACACTATAGTCGGCGAATGGGTTACATATCATAAAACCCGCCAGCTGTCTAGATCGAGATTGTCGCCAGCGGTAATGTAAAAAGAGGATGGATTGAGACTATAACAAAGCAGTTTACTCCGTATCTACGACCCGGCCCAGAGGACTGGGTTTGTGATGAGACCCCTATTCGTCAACTTTAAACCCATAAGTATATAATATGCAAAACCCTCATAGTACCCATTAATAACATGATGGTTGATATTACCTCTTAGTGGGTACCAAGATCGCTATGATATATGGCTGTAGCCAGCGGGAATTGCATTAGTAAAAGCCTGTTTATATTTGGCGTGTCCGACAAGCGGGATCTTTCGGCATCGTATGGTATACATTATGCATATATTTTAGGTCGTATGTATGCGGTAGTAGATAACATATGCAACGACAATCCGTCAAAGAGGGAGAGGGCCATGCTCATCACCGGAGTCTCGGATAGTATGGCTCGACATGGGTGTTAATGCCATCCTTTGGATCGGGGGTGTGGGGGGAATAATGTAGATGAACTAAGTGGCATACTCCCACCGGTTGGTATGGTCCCCCATAGAGGCTGTAAAGGTTACTGGTTTTGATATTGAGCCTCATCCCGAGTGACTAAATTATGGCGTTACTAGTTGGGCATGCTTTAAGCCTAGCTTAGGAGTACTGTTAACTAGCCTCCTCCTCATCAATGTTAAATTAACATAATTCTTCATCGGGTTGGGCTGTCTTAGCTATCCACGGCCGTGGGATTTTCCTCATACTACCTTAAGCAGGTATCCACTATAGACCATACCGACTGATCATGGCTCAACGTAGATACTCCAACTCCGGCATTGCTTTACCGACCCAAGGGACTTTGGTAGTGAAAACATGTGCGTCTAATTGCCTCGCTTAGGGGGCATCACAGACAACTCTCCGACCTACTCCTACGTATCATTATTAGTTTTGTTACCCATCTGTGCCATAGCCGCCCAATGTTACTATTAGTTGCCATTGCCATTCCCAGCTCTCTAGAGGAGGCTTCCTGTATGATCCCTGAAGACCTGCTCGCGGAACAGTCAGGTGAAAATAAATTGTGTTCCGTAATTTGCATGCTTATGCACTGTAACCGGCTTCCTCATATAGCTTAGTTACATCCGAGAAAATATACATGATGCACGGTTATGGCCTTGCCGCTGGAGACTGATGGTAACATCCCTTGTCACTATAGGGGAGCCCATACTATGACTCTCAGCTGTTGATTGGGTTCCGTCTACGCGGTAACGATGCCTTCTATCTTTGCTGGGTGGAGTTCAGCTGATAGGTTTACGCAGCGCCAAGTTTGAGGGCTGATATGAAAAGCCCTCATACGAAGGAGTTTCTTTCTCGTTGGTTCGAGCGGTTCTTGGTCTAGACTAGGAGATACCCCGGCGCTGAGCTGGCAACACCCTCCAAGAATTACTTCATGATATGTTGAGCTAAGAGAATGTATTTTAATCATACAAGGTGTAGGCTATATCTAGTACTGACACCATATTATGCGAGTAGCAGGGGTATTTTTCTTCATTGTGGATGTTTCACAAACTACCTACCAGAAAAATATGCATTGGGCGATTCTAACACGGCTATCTCGTAGCTTTGCATTAGTAATTGGATTACGACCGAGTTGTTACCATGATCTAATCCGATCGATACTACATGTTGGCGGCTCTGTCGAAAAGCGGTCTTGCGACATGGATATGCAGTATGCATGGATGCTAGATAGTGGCACGGTTAAGAGCCGTATAGAAGGTATCCGCTTGTCTGAGCCATATACTGTAACATTGGAGTAGACAACGAGATGAGCAAATCCCGTGCGGGGTTCTTCAAAAGCTCTCATCGTGGGTTATAGTTACTTGGATATGCTTTGGCGATGTAGAAAGTCTGGGCGGATATGCAAGAATATACTGGGGGTTAGATCAAACTTCTCATGAAGCGAGGTTAGCCCGGAAAACGTTGCAGATCGGGTGATGGGTTACGCAGAAGACCCTAATGAAGAACACCGCTGGTATGGGCCTTCTGGGGAGCAGAGCCGCTATCACAACATAGCCCAACAAGCACAACCTGGCCAGACTACGGGGGACGGGGAACGGGAGGTCGGCTTTGGGAATGGCGCGCGGGCCGCGAATCTAGGATTTGAGTATACTCCGTAGGATTAGCCGATGGATCCCCTGCCAGCAGATGGTTGCATACGTAGCCGAGCACGGAATGAAAGCTGATTCGTTAATGACTATTAGCTGTGCGATTCCATTGGTCAGCCTTTGTTTTGAATACATGGGGTTCCGTTCTGGCGGGCTCAGTAGCTTCTGTAAAAATACCACCCAGTAGACGTGTTACTGTACGGTAGGATTCGAATCTCCCATCGTTATGGGGTATATACAAGACCCTCTTCATCACAGGGTTGGGTAAATGCGAGGTGGATTCGTCATAGGCCCCCCCTTTTTTTGAGCAGCTCGGGTCATTCTACCCAATCCATCGGTTTCGGTTCCGGGAGATGTTGTGTTACAATGGGGTTAAGCACCATTATTACCTGTTGCTTGGTTCGACCTCTCGTGGACTGGATCTTTGCGAGAAAAAGTATTTCATATGAGGCTCTAATAGATCGATCCGTATGAGTGCTTGGCGTCAAGTCACGGCTTCGGGTGGTGCGGGCCGCTTTTCTGCTTAGCATTTCAAGGCTTTTCCGGGTTAATTCTTATACTCGTCCCGATACTCTGGTATAGTAATTATGGGCACGCCAACGTATTGGGCTATACTGTCTCTTTATACGAGAAGAAAGGAGCCTCTTAGCTTAACCTCTTAGTTCTGCCCATTGCAACTCTAACTGCCAACAAGCAAGAGCCGTATAGGCCAACTGATTGTGACATCAATAATCTAGCGCATAGACAACTTTATTCTGTTATGCATGTGTGCTGCATTAGTGTCTTGTCAGGAGCAATGAAGAGAACATGTGAGGGTTGTCTGAAGCAGGTGTGTGTATTTGCTCCGTCTTTCGGCTGAGGGTGTAGCGGTCTGACTCTGTTCCGACTAAAGGGTACCTGTGACAGGCCTCATACTCCTGAGAGACGAGTTGACGGAATAGCACAGTATAGCATCAAAAGACCCACCCTGATTAATCATGGGATAAGAGCGATCCTACCGTAAGTTCGGGCTAAGTGATATAGCTTATTGCGAGGTGATAGATGGCTTCGGTGTGATAACTCTGGTGGTGCTACTCAAAATGTGTCTGTATTTGATTGGGACGTGGGAGCATTCCCTGCTTTTCCTGCCGGCGGCGTTTGCATCGAGATCCTGGCTCTCGCCGTTCTCCATAACTAAGCACACCTCCAACTTCATTAGCAAGATGGTGACAAGGATGTTGGAGATGTTCTCATAAGTCTAAGAGTGAGATTGTCTCCTATCCCACTTCCAAGGCTGAAAGCAATAGAGCCTAGGGGGCAGATGTTGTTGTTGTCTATGATCGAGGAAAGAACACCGAGTTCGAAGAGGTATTGAGAAAATAATGCGTTTATGATCACTATCATTGAGGTGTGTTAGATCTCTAGGTGGTACTCTAGCTAGTCGTCGTAGTCGCAGCTTAGATAGTCTATTTAAACCACGAAACACTGATCCAGGACGGTATAGCATCGAAGTAACGACACTCTTAAGAACCAAGGATCAACCCCTCTTGGAATAGAAGGCGAACCATATATAGGCTCACCTAAAGGCGGTAATAGGGGCGGTTAGGATACCATTATGGGTGAGGGAGCATGTATACGGGATTTGACCTGTCATCCGTCACTCACCACATTCGGGATTCGAAAGCAGGTATCTGCCCGGATGTTTCTCGTGACTATATTCTAATCATTCTAATTTATGGGTGTTCTCCTATTTAGGGATACACTCTCCGTAGCGCTTATGTCTTGTTCATGTGTCGGCTAGTGTTGTATATCGATGGCATGAAAAAGCGATTTATGTTGGTTGGTAGATTAATTTAGTCGATATCGGAAACGCAAGGTGTCATTGAGTTAAATCTGCATTAACTCAAATCTGCAGCAGTTGTTGTATGTAGTGTGCTCCTTCCATTTATCGGATAGGGGTAGGTTAGGTGTAGCTCTGCGTATCGCACACCCCCCTAACACTAGTAGATGAGGAACCTGCGACAGCTAACTACTACCCCTTCTTCCTTCCCTCAGCATTAGGTATGCCCAGATAGACAACCAACATAGATAAATTTTAGCGTACCTTGCAGTTACAACCCAGGTTACCCAGGTAGTTTTAAAAATGTGAATATATTCCACTTTCATATCTTCGTAGTAAAGTATCTCTTATTTAACTTAGAGCTTGAGCAAGCCGCGAGACTGGCAGCGGCTAGTAGGCGATACTTATCTCTTACCTGTCACCCAATACTCATATTAATTAGAATAACATCTTCTACTATGATTGGGTAGTTATAGATCCTAGTGCGATGGGGACATAAAATTTGCAGGATCGAACATTACGAGTTCACTTATGACACACAAGAACAACACAAGAGGTGCCCGTCAATTCCTTAATATTCATTTCCAAACGCCGGTATATCCGTAGTCGAATGCTGGTAATCCGATAAAGCCTTGATGCTTATGATTTGTCCCTCGAGGGACTTTTGAAGTTCTCGTCAAACTCCCTTAATGCTCGTTGAAATCCAAACCGCTGATGTCCTTTTGACAGAAACCGTACGATCTTCTTCGGCATCGAGGCCTAAGATCTATTCCACAAAACCAAAATTCCTCCAAAGTACTTCCAAAACAATGGCCACATGCCGGCCAGATAGCACAATAAAGCCTCGAGGCTTATGGTTCCTCCCAATAAACCGACACTCCAATAGAGATCCAGTCCAATCTTCCCAAATATCCGTTTGAATATATCGATATATTCACAACAGGGGTACGAAGCCCAGTGAAGCCCCGAGGCTTAGAATATATTCCACCAAAGACTCCCGGAGTCCAACCAACCAACCAACATATACAATCCAGTAAAGCCTCGCGGCTTATAATACATTCCATGTAAGTTCCGCCATTTTATAGTTCTAACAGATGCGTCTATCTATATTTCGTATGCCAACCATCATAATCCTGTCGACATATTCGAACTTCCAAGCCCTAGTCGTTACATATAAATCAAAAGCATTGCGCCTTGATTTCCTCTAAGATATCCTACCAAGCCGATAAATCGAAGATAGAAGCCCCTATTCTGCCTCAGACACAAACGGATATGTAATATTGCCATCGGGATCCGTAACCTTAATAAGCGGAATAGGCTCAGGCGATGGTGTATGAAAGACGACCGCCCGTTTGTATCGTAGGTTCCTGGGCCGCGGCACTCGGCTATTAGCCTTGGGTACCGACGAGGGCTTCGTGTAGTTGAGCGACGGTATCTTTGTCAATTTCTTGATCTTGCGTCGTGGTTGCTGAGCTTCTTCCTCGGGGGAATCTGCGTCTTTTTCGAGTTTGCGTTTTGTCCGGGGGTCTGTGAGCGAGAGCTTTCCCAGACCAAATACAAGTTGCTTTAGCTGGGGTGCTTTGATTGGCGTGGTGTATTCGTTGATGTTTTCAAGTATGTGATCACCAGGCATCGCGATGGCCAGTGGGGGGAAAGGACTGATAGCCGAGGTCGTGGGGATAGTGGTGGAGTGAGTGTCCTTAGCCCAAGGAGGAAGGATGTTAGGTGGATCTATATCCATAGCTGTGTCGAAGTGCATAGATGTGTCATTATCCATGGAAGTATTGATAGAAAGAGGGGTATAGTCGGTCATGACAACGTCGCCATCAGCGTCGATTTTGTTGCTAGTCTTCAAGTCGTCCATGAGGCTGAAGAATTCTATGCCTTCCATCATATCTAGGCCCAGTTCAGGCATATGCTGTCTTGAAGGATGTATCACAAGGGGGTTCAGTATGCGGGAGAATTTTCTGACCATGTACCTAGCAGCAGGGGCGTGAATGATTACACGACGTCTGCGGTTGTAAGTGCTCTCGAATAGAGGCGCTAACGAGAACGGATACAGGCCTGAACCTCGTCTGACTTTGACACGTCCAGAGAGAATTGAACAGGGACCCATGAGGAAAGATTCGATATAGCCGCTAGATACAGCGGCAGTGTAAGGTAATAGAGAGAGATGATGTGATGTAAGTAAATCGTAGTAGTGTAGGATGCTATAGAAAATTTCGAACAGATATTTCGAGTAGATATTGAGCCGTTACAAAGTAATAGTTTCGATATCCCGAGCTATGCTGCGCGATGATTGTTTTGGGTAATGAGGGAGAAAAAGTAGAAGAATAGAAAACGAATTGTTTACAACGGCATGGTGTATGTATGTTGATTTGTAAATAGAATTCAGACTAGAAACCTGTTTTGTCGCTTGGACTCTCTTCATATTGTGTAAATAAACTACGAAAACGTTGAATAGGAGAGAGTTGACTTCGTCGTAGTGTTCTTGGAATCAGATGACGAACGCAAAGGCACTTGTTAGAGTTATACCAGTGCTATAAGGATAACGAGCGAAAAAAATATAAGCAGAAACCCATATACCAAAGTTTATATTCTTCTTTTTGTTTCTTTGCGAGACTAGTCAACTATAGAGAAATAGGGGGGATAGGGACCCCCATCGCTATACGAGGCACGCTCGCTCGTTATCTACAACCTCTAGCTCATAACATTGTCAAATCTTTCGCAAAGTTTTGTTCTTGATGAAGTCATTTATTCAATATTAGCATTTTATTTTTCGTGCTACTTATTGACTTTCACCAAGTCCAAAGCGATAGAAAAGCATCCAGATTAAGCGGACAACTCGCTCCCGCAACGAGCATATTGATATGCCCAACATCATTTATTAAGTTATTACAAAAAAAATCTTACAATTAGCCTTTAGAATTACGAATAATATCTAGGTATAAGATTGTAAGGGTCATTTTCTCCTTTCTGATCAGTCTTCCTATACCAGCACTGAAAATAGTAGAAATAAAAGTAGTAATATGCCAATTAAGAGAATATATTCTAAGATGACGATCATTTATTATATCGATCATAATCTAAAACTAATGGACTAGCCAATTGCTTCCAACCAAAACGTCGAACAGTCGTATATGGTATTTATGGTAGATAGTCATATTCCCGGGATTATATATTAATAGGGTTTGAGGCTCTGCTTAGTCTTTCCTAGCAGAACGGTTTACTTTGAGGCGTTGACGCTATAGCTCGTGGGATAGGCTTATCGTATGTCATAGCAAAAGTTGAAACGTCAGATGCTATTTTGGTGACTACCTAAGTCGCCTAGCATATCCGAACTTCGTAAGACTTGGGTCTCTGTGACTTTACCTTGCATAAAGATGCCTGTGCAGCACTACTATTGTTGATATCAATAGTTCTTAAGGTACTAAGGCCTATATCCTATGGATTGCGTGATCCTATAGATTCACACATCTACCACCACACAAGGGCGGTACCAGGCACGGGACAAGGAGGCCTGAAGTCCGAAGGCGCCAGATCTATCTAGTTTTGTAGCGTTCTATGGGCCATTAGTATATGCTTCAAGACACGAAAGGGGATGATAAATACCCAAGATAGTCTTCCTTGATGCTTCCAATTGCCCATAGCTCACCGACTTCGGCTCGCGTGCCCACAATCTTAACACGAACCTGGGTGTTAACTTCGATCGTAGTGTCCTCGTTGTTAGTAAATTGAGGTGGTGTGGCGTTCGGGTCCCATCTAACTTCTTGCGGGATCAACTTGACAGGGGCTGTCAACTAACGTCATACGCGCCGATGTCAAGGGGACTACTTACGTGGGTGGACACGAAGATTCGAAGCGGTCCTGCCTCGGCGAAGAAGCCGTGCTGGTTGACGGAGACTACTATGGCATCCATCTTACTTACTTAGCAAAAGTTCGTAATATCAAAGCTCAGCCTAGAAAAACCTACCGTTTCGCCCTTGAAGGGGCGCCAGACCACAGCACGATAGCCAACGGTGAATTCAGCGAGACCGCTTCCAGGAAGGATACGACCTTCGGAGATATCAAAGGTATCCATGATGGAAATGATATAGTAGCTTCCGGTACACGTGCCTTCAACGTCCTTAAGAAGCTTGCCTGTGACCAGTTCATGCATGTTCTTGCCGAAGTACGAAGGGTGAAGGGTAACCCTTCGCTCGAGGTTGTAGAGGAAGAACATTTTGATACGTCTATATGCTCGCGCTGGATGATCTAATTGGTAAGAGGGAGGTTGTAGGGGATATCGAGATGGCGTTGCTACGGTAAGATTGTTCGCGGGATTGATCGTCAAAGTGGAAGGCCACCACGATGAAGTATCGCGCGACACGTAAACGGGGATCTCTGGCAGGGCCTAGGCCAAGACAGAGGTAGGTGATTGAAGGCCAAGCAAGAAGGTGTAAGTGACGAGGACTCGCGGGAGACGGGATGAGTCGATGTAATGGGATGCTAAAAGGTAGGCTGAGGTGATGCAAACCTTGAGCCTCCTCGAGCCTCAAAAAGTGGCAATCTACCTAAGGGTATCATAAAATCATCAAGAAATATAATAAGACAATGTTAAAGCTATGCGCTTGTGGTGCGATGATGAATGCGACAACAGGGCTGAAAGAAAATTTGGTGTAGCCTCAAGAAAGTCTGGATGATGAAAGGAACGAGTCGCGTCTGGTTTAGGAACTTTCAAGCAACCCTGGACCTTATTGGCCTTAGTGCAACCTGGGGGGAGAAGACGGGAAGGTCTCCACTTATGTATATAGCTATTATGTACCTAATTGATGTACCTATCGGCCTGTGCATCAAATTGTATTATACTTTGTACCTTAACCGTTAAATGCTTAGTTAATGCTTAGGTACCTTATGTAGTTAACCTAATTCTTTAGGGGTGCTTTGAACTATCTATGTATGTTAGGTACAGCCTCGTAGGGAAAATCTCGGTTTCAGTTCGGTACAACGACACCGACACCGAAGCCATTATTAGATGCACAACGTCGTCACTTATTACTCATTCCCGTCTTCTTATCCCGTACCTAAGCTGTCCTACCTTAGGTAGGTACATAAGTTACTGTTACTTGGCGCAATTGAAGTGTGTTTGCATGTGCTTAGCCTTCCTACATGAAAGAAGTGACGAGAAGCTTACTTCCATTGTACAATTCCCGTTTGAAGGAAATACATATAAATATACGTGAATAGGTACATACATAATGCGTGAATGATAAAATGCCCCACTTCCACTGCTCCTCGCCTTCCGCAATGGCCGATCACTAAAAACATTAATTATTTCCATCTCCGGGGGTCTCTTTTTATATTTAACTTCGACCTCGAATTATTCCGTTCTCTAACTACGCGACTATCCGAGGTACGCGATTTAAGCTAAGCTAAACCATTACCACCCTACCTTCGTTTAGCTGTCATCATGACGCTCAACCTCGAGAGACAACTGACATTTGTAAGTTTAATATAATATAACTACCCCTATAGACATATAGAAATATAGACATCAATCTTAAGACTAACTAATCGCGCTTCTATAGTATGGCGCTTACCACCGTAACTCGGTCAACATTGCCATTCACATGGTTTGCGTACCTCTGATATTATTCTCTGGCTTCACCTTGGTATGTCGAACCGACTAATCACCTATACTACTCCCTAGACAGATATTATTAACAAGCATGACCGTTCGCAACAGGCCGCAAATACAGGGACACTCATCCCCTTACCTACATACTTGACGATACCCCATCTCGACCTTAATCTCGGCACCCTAGCAGCTTTTACGTGGGGTGGTCTCTATGTCCTTCTCGAACCTGTTGCCGGAACCATTCTGGCGTTTATATGCCTCGGGGCTGCCGCAGTCACGAACACCGCCGTCGCCGAAAACCCGACCTTAACGAACCAGGTCGCGCTTACGGTACACATAGTATGTTGGCTACTCCAATTCGTCGGGCACGGTGCGTTTGAGGGCCGAGCGCCTGCGCTATTAGACAACCTGACACAGGCCATATTTCTGGCGCCCCTTTTCGTCTGGCTCGAGTTCTTGTTTAAGTTTGGCTACAGACGAGAACTGCAAAGCCGCGTTTCGAAAGCCGTCCAAGTGGAAATCGCCAAGTTTAAGGAACGAAAGGCTGGTGCGGCGAAGAATGGAAAGGCTCAATGAGCGCGAGGACAGTAACAGTATGAGGCAAAAATTCATGGTCGTGATAGCTCTGAGAGTTATATAAGAAGGAAGGACAGCAGGCGTGTCCAATACCGCCATTTTGCACATCCAATATGAGATGTTGCCTATAATGAGGACTCCTAGGCTGGGATGTTACCTAGAAGAGATATCCGGCGAACTACAGGGCGACGGTTTACGGTAGAAGTCGATTGAGGAACAACACTGACACATTGCGATAGCGATGGGAGTTTGCGCGGCAAGACTCAAGCCAAACCCCTTTAATTAGTTAGTACTCTTTACTCCTGCACATGGATTTATATAAAGTCCACACAGGCATGGGGGACCTTCTCAACGTATAGTCGCTCCCGGTACGGCGGACTATTATGACATTAGTGCCAAAATCAAGAAAATAGGTCAGGGCTGTCCAAAAAGGGTAATATATCAAGTGCACAGTATACTATGCGGGGTATATACAAAATAGAATACAAAATTCTTATATTTATAGTAACTTTTCGAATATTACTGGCATAAATTAACATAAACTATTAATATTTCATTTCAAGTATATATAAAAATATAAAAATAGTCATATAATATTCCTGATTTATTTCGTAAAGATAATGTGTAGTATAAATATAAAAGGAGGTGTACGGGTGGTCATAAAGGGTATCACGTGCCGTATAAGATTTATTGGATATTGATATAACACGCTATACGATACGCCAGCCAAAAGATATATACATGCAACTTACATTGTTATTTTCGCATTAAATGAGGCTATAATATCATACTAATTATAATATTTGAAATAGTATATCGGTAAAGTTATCTGAATAGTTACGTGTAAGTGCTATCATTGAATTCCTGTATTTAGTATATATGAGGCTAAGGTAAAGGCGATATCTGATTGGCTAATCTTTGAGAATAGGAAAGACTATATGTACCATATAGCTGTCTTAATATCTTTACGAATTTTGGGTCAAATTGCATGCAACCTGGACAGTAATTTTTGTCCTTTTTCAATCAAAATATTGATAGTTTTTGAAAAATATTCGGATAGATATTCGTAAAGTTATTATAGTATAAGGTTAAAAGGGGTGTTAATTGTGTATACAGCGCATATTAATTGAGTTTACACTGTATTTTTGCTCTACTATTACCTTATTAGACATAGTGCCACCCATTTTCTTGATTTTGGCACTAATGTCATAATAGTCCACCGTACCCGGCATATCATCTTCGACATATAGAAAATTACACACGAGAATTATTATTATCGTTAACAATAGCAGCAACAGCATCATAAACATTAATAATACTAAAACAAATAGAATAATAACACCTACGTATCCCACAAAAACAGCTCCGATCCTCTAAGACTCCTTTTATTAGTTTAACTAAACTCTGCAGAAATGCCGCCTGACCGTCCCTATATAACGTATATAAACGAATTGAAATGGTCTCGATACATCATACGTATGTATCTATATATATATCGATGTATACCCTTTTGTATACATATACGTACCTAAAATTCTTTCCAGACAGCAAAAATTTCAGGGGTATGTAACTTACTAACTCTATCACCGTTGCAAATAGCAACATAACATCAACGGCGATGGCGGATTCATCAACATCTAGTAAGCGTGCCGCGCGTTCATCGTCAGCATCCGCGCGTCCCGACACACGAAGCTCTCGTCGGACGAAGTGTCGGAGAAGCGCAGCGGCCCAACCCTGCGCAGCGTCGGGGGCATGTGGAAACCGTTCGTGCGCCCGGTCCCGGTGATCATATGGTGGTGGTGCCCTTTGCTGCGCTGCGGGGGAGGCCGCAAGGGAGGTCGGAACATAGGCGGCTCGATGCTCTTCTCGATGGCGGGCGAGGCTGGCGGGTAGTAGTCGTTGGCGAAGCGCTGCGCGTTTAGGTATACTTGGTACTCGGGCAGCGGCGCGGGGGGCGGCTTGAGCGGAGGCGGCGACGGCGGGGTGTAGTGGACTTGTCCGGATTTGCGCCGCAGTGGCAGATGTTTCTCCATCGGTGATATGGGCGATATCAGCTGCGACTGCGACTGCGGCTGCGGCTTCGGTATCGGTATCGGATCTATGTAGTGTCGGATAGGCGGCGGCCATTTGCGCTCTGGGTCTTTGGGGGGTGGTGTTGGGGGGCGACGCACGGGGGTAGGTATTCTAGAGGATCTCTTACTTCTGGAAGATTTATCCCTGTCCCTGTTGTCTGTTTCGCGGCGATGGCGGTCACGCTTCGATACCGGCTCGGCTGTCTTTTTGGAGCGGCGAGGGATGTTAGTACTGGAGGTTTCTTTGGCGGGTGCGCGGGGTCTACGCTCGTTGCTTTTTGCCGGCTTGTCCCCCTTTCTCTCAGTTTTATGGGAGGATTTCTTGCTTGCGGATGCTTGATGTCTATGTTCGTCACGGTTTTTCGTCGAACTTCGCGGATGTGCTTCTGACTTATCCCGTTTCTGCTCAGGTTTCTGCTCGGGTCTACGGGGCGGTTTTTGCGTAGCAACGGGTGGCCTTGTTGATGATTGTACTGGACTGACCGGCCGCGCTTTTCCCGCTGCGCGGATGTAGGGGTCTCTCTGTGCGAGATTCTCCGGCTCGTAATACAGTCCCGGTATCCATACCCCTTGCTGCCCATGCCTATCTGACCTTTTACAGGACCTTTCGGCTGAATTCTCGCTTCTTTCGCGATATTCTCCGGGGCGGTATTGATACTCATCCCTCATATGCGGGTGACGGACCCTCAAGGCCCCATCACCAACCGAATTACTCCATAGCTGGTCATTCTTGACCGAGCAAGATGGGCAAAATGGTGTCAGCTCTCCATAGTGAGGGATGACACGCCCACAGTCTTTTTTTCTCTTAACACTGCCGTTGAGAAGACGCCCAAGGAACCCGTTTGCCTCGCTTTGTTGTTTATAGTATGTAGGGCAATGGATTAGGTTCCTGGAGACGTGGTGGCATTCGGAGTACTCCTGACTCCAGATTTGGCACATCGCGAATCGTATTAATCTGTCGATTGATTAAATCTGGTCCGTGTTTGGCTTAAGTATGACTTGTTCACAATGGTTCTTCGAGAACCTGCTCGTTGAGTGACAGAATAGAGGGCTCCTTAGCCGCGACAAAGCCCATTGTCTACGTTGTCTTAGTGGGCGTCCACCATACAATCTACTAGATGAATAGGGGCGTTACAAGACAAAGCTATAGAGCAGGAACAGATCTATGTTTTCTCATGAGACCACGTTGGCAAGGACATTCTCCCTATATAACAACTCTCCCATTGTCTATCCATATCTATTCATAATAACATTGTCCAGAACTACACGAGCTATATGGACAATGAATGACCTTGTTCAGAAGTCTTGGGAGCTATTTATTCATTATCTCGCAAGCCACCTTCTGGGATCATCAAACCTCGTTCACTTTGTAGTCAAAAAAGTGTACGCTTAATCAGTCAACTAATTATTCAATCAGACAAGCTATCAAGTAAAATGGGTCGTTTCAGCGCATCCACCGTCGCCAAAAAGATTAAGCGGACCTTTTCGTCACCATCGTTGAACAGGCTTGCAGCACGCCAAAAGGAGACCCCGGGGGCCTTTCCGCCTACAGAGCTAGACTACAGTCCCGATAGACCGGAAACGAGACGTTGCTGGACCGCACACCCCCAGCATCATGGAAAGTTCCGTGAGGATCTACCTGACGCCTACGACGCAGACGACGAACACGCAAACTCCATGGGAAATGCCCTTCGCGAAGAGTTTGAAGCACGCAGAGCGAACACCGCACCCGTTAAGCCCCCTTCTCCCACCAAGAAGAAGGAGAAGAAGAAGCCCTGGTTCGCCATAACCGACGAGGAGCTCCGCCAGGAGTACGAGCGGTGCCGGGCGAAGGCACCAAACGTCGGGCCGAACTTCCTCTGGTGTGACCGGCGGGACAGCCTGGACCAAAACGCGATCCTCGCGTCCATGGGCCTTAAGCGCGCCCAGACTTTCAACGTGTACCCCACGTGCTGTCCCAAGACCGGCAAGACAGTCGGCCACATCAAGAAGAACGAGAACATCGCCGTGCCCATCCACGCCGACGAGAGCGAAGCCCTAGCCCAAGGCAACGTAGTCGATCTGTCCACACCCCCCATGGCCGCCCTCCTTTCCAACGCCCTCCCCCCAGAGGACCCCATGCCCAAACTCACACTCCCTAGCCCCCCTGACTGGTTCCTAAAGCCGCGCCCTGCCCCATCTCCCCTCAGGAAGTACTGTAACGCCCTGCGCGAGGAAGTCAAGGAAGTAAGACCTAGCTCAAGCGACGACGCCTCGGTCTGCGATAAATCCGACTATAGCGATATCTTCCGGCCTCTAGAAGAAAGCATGCTTATTTAGCCCTGTCTGCCATATATAGCTCCACCAAACATGTTCATTAGGTAGTTTTCTAGAACTACTCATGGTTTAATGCATTGGATAAGTATCCAATGCTAGTATATATTTTGGTCAGCAATGGGTTAGCTAAACACTACGTTAACAGGGTTACATATACAAGCAAGGCTTAGGACCCAGGAGTTAGGTAGGACGTTTCCTTTGGTTGGTGTTTTATTTTTCCTTTCAGCCTTTTTTTTGCTTTATCTCTTAATAAAAGCTTTGTCTTTTATGGCTTTTATTGCTTGATGATAGCTTTTCAATCTCCGCTGGAAAACATGACATTAACTACTTCCTTACTCACGTTTTGATTTTGGGTTGTATTGCTTGTTAGAAAATAAGAAAAATACAAAAAAAGGTGGCAAATTTTACGACTCTTATTGAATGCATTGTGACCATCTCTAATGCTTATGGTGACATGATTGATACACAACGTGAAATTAGTTAGATTGCATCAAAACAATAATTCAGTTAACTTGGTTCATTGGGTAGGGTAGGTAAAATACACCAGCGCCATGCAAAGTAAAGTTGAAGTCCCAAAGGCGTGCCCTTATTATCGCACCATATCCCCCTTAACTGTCCTTACTACGTTACAACGGGTCGCCTGTTTTTTTCTCCACATCCCCTTCATCTTCTCATAACAATCAACCCCTACGACTGTTGTCGTGTGGTACGCTTGTTGACCTCAGCCTTAACGTTCTCAGCACCTGTCGCAACAGCTTCGGCCGCCTTGTCCTTAGCATCCTTAGCCTTCTCCTTAGCATCTGCGGCAGCCTTCTTAACAGGCTCCGGTGCGCTACCTCCAAGGAAGAGGAAGCTGACAATGGTACCAACGAGAGCAAGAATAGCAACAATGGCACTGGGAACCTCAGGCACGAACTTGATAGCCTGGATAGGGTCATTTGCGGCAATGGTGATAAATAGGTCGAGCTTCTCCTTGACATAAAGGACAGGGTCATCTAAGAACTTAAGGTCCGAGGGAGACTTAGGTGAGTCGTCAGCCTTAGGTTTCTCAGCCTCCTCGAGAGCCTTCTCAATAGCGACCTTCTTGAAGAAAGTCTCCTGAGCAAACTTGTCGGCATCAGCCTCAGAGTGTCCAATGTAGATGTTGTCAAAGAGGATGTCGTTCTGCATAGTCCAGAGTTCGAAACCAACCTATGACAATAAGTTAGCGGTGTATTCCATATGACAAACATCTTTAGTATTACTTACAGCACCAATAGGTTCAAAGTTAGCGGGGTTCTTGTCCTCGAAGTAGTTGGGGTTCTTGATCTTGCGAGGAGCCCAGACACCCTTGTAGGCAGGGTTGTCGATGTATGGCGCAGTCCACTTGCCCTTGTAGTCAGGGTTCTTCTTCAAGGGCTTGGTCCAGGGGCCACATCCGGAGGCGTCGGCGCACTTGGGGTTAGGAACAGTGGGGGGGATCCAGTCACCATCTTCCTCGTCATCCCAATCTTCAGGCTTCTGGGCCTCGGGGTCAGGAACGGTCAAGGGCTCATCCTCAAGCCAGTCTTCGGGCTTAGTAGCCTCCTCATCGACGATCTCGAATGGCGCATCCTCGTCCCAATCCTCAGGCTTCTTGGCATCAGGGTCGGGAATACGGGCCTCATCAACCCAGTCCTCAGGCTTTGAGTCATTGGGGTCGTCAATCTCTTTCTCGGGGTTAACGGCAGGAGAGAACTGGTCAAAGAGACTACCGTCTCGGACAATGTCACCACCCCGCTTAACAGTAAAGGTGTTGTTGGGGCGGACGACCAGAGTGTAGAGCTCGGTAGTCTTCTGGATGGTAGCGGGAGGGGCAGCAGACATGTGCTTCTCCTCGTACTCGCCAGTCTTAGGGTTCTTGTGATTGAAGATGAAGTGAACCTTGTTGGTGGCACCGCACTTGTCAGGACCGAACATGATGACGTACGGCGTGGTGTTGCTGAACTCGTCCTGGTGAAGAGACTTGGTGTCTCGAAGAAGTTTCAGGTAGGCACCACCGCATTCAAGACCCTCTGGAAGCCACAAAGTTAGAAAGTTGATACTTATAAACTTCGTCAAGATTAAATTAACTTACTCTGGAGCTTGACCTCATATTGGACAACTAGTTCCTTACCCTTAGGGTCGATCTTCTTGGGGAACTTAGCGGAGATGGCGTGGTGAGCGGCGACGTTCTTGACAACAAGACCCTTATCACCCTCGACACCCTTAAACTTGTAAGGCTCCTCAACCGCCCACTCGCCAACGTAGGCCCATTCCTCTTCCTGACCCTTGGTCTCCTTCTTGGCGTGGGAAGGCTTCCACCGTGACTCCCAGTCATCAGTGAACTGCTCTAGGAAGGGAGCTTTGATGGTGGTAGGCTGGAAGTAAAAAAAGAGTATTAGCTAAGTTGCAACAGAAAGAATAACAAAGCTACCAATTGAGCAAAAGAGGTAACAATTAATTATAGGAGATAACTCACAGTGAAGGTTGGAACTTCGACGGCAACAGAAGTCGACGACTCGGTATTTTCAACCTTGGATGCATCGTCGGCATAAGTGCCGGTAGCCAGCAAGGCCGCGGCGATAGCAGAGTTTAACTTCATAATGAAAAGCTAGCAATGCTAGGTTGCTTTACTTTACTTTGCTTGTCTTGTCTCTCTGGATCTCTTCTGTCTAGCACAGAGATGGAGATAGATTGAGAATGACGTTGAGAAAGAACTCCCAGAGCTCAACGAAGAAAGAAAAGATGGACTCAGGAAGAAGCAATTGCAGAAGCTCTTCGTGAACTTTTAATTATTGGCGGCGGACCTTCCATGCAAACGTGGCCTAAAGACAGTACGTACCTTTTCGGTTGCCTGGTTCCGTGCTCTGATTGGCTAGACTCTCGGGATCGAAAATATACTTTAGTACATGAGATTGCGGGGGATACTTATGGAATCTTTGGGAAACAGCTTCTGTGATCATAGCTTTAATAGCCTCTGTACGGATCTGTACTGATACCTCAATGTATCTTTTACGATAGTGAAGTATTACATGTAGTTAATCAATCTATAAAGATAACACCATTTATGTGCGTTAAAAAATGAAAATCATACCATTCACATCTATTAACAACAGAATATATATACATTCTCTAATGCGCACTACAATTGATAAGATTGTTAGTCTGTCCATAATGGGAAGAGCGGTGAAATCTGTCAACAAGATAATATCACTTATTAAATGGTGCGACGTAGGACCATTAATATTATCGGGTTTGTACTAAACTTCATTCACTATCACAGAGATAGCATCAAACCCGGCAAACCTATTTGGTGAATGGGACTTAATGCTACATACCTCTGTAGTAAATTTTATTTTCTTATAAAGCCGAGGTGCCAAAAGGCTAGCTAATCATTTTTATTCAATTAGCTTCCGAGATGCACATGTCTATAGATCCATTGATACTACCTCATAAGATAGTGGAAGTTGATCTAGGTATCCAATATCCAAGTGTACAGATATACAGGTACTTGATAGGTTAAGTACCTAATGTTAGGTTGTAGTTACTCAGCTACCTATGTACATATTAGTATAGCAACTATTAGGTCCTTACGCCCCAAGCTTGCGTGATCTACACCACAAACTACCCTAGCAAAGTGGGGAATAGAATTTAGGATTTGTGCCGTGATACTCGACTTTAGCCTCATCCAACTTTATTTGCTAATAAGTAAACTGTACTCTTTTTTCCTCCGCCAATTTTTAAAGTACCGAACTTACCACGCTTTGTCACATTCTCTTCCTCCAAGAGGCCAACCTGGCCTAATCTTATTCATCTCTCATAGTATAGCCAGCCTTCCGGTATACCGGATTCCCCCCTAAAGGAGACCAAAGTGAAAATGGGTGACGACCATTACATAACATCAGAAGATTCTGATCACCCGGCAAACCTCATCCCTTCCCTATGCGCCAAGTTTTGGACCTTGGGTTGGGTTACGGGAACGGGAGGAGGATGTTCTATTCGCAACGAGTAAGACCTCACTCTTCTCTTTGCATTGATTCGGTTTGGTTTGGTTTGGTTTGATATAAATCCAATGTGGCCTCGCTCATATTCACCTGTTCCTATCCTCTATTACAGCGGTACAAAATAAATAGAAACATGTTGTCTCATACCTCAATGTTCCAGTGATCTAGTATATATCGCACCTTCAGGCGTTCAGAAGGAGCTTATGAAGAACACTGATATCTACGTGCTCGCGCTATCCAAGCAGACGGACCTCAAGAACCGCGTCTACCTGCGGGCTCCGCCGTGCGGTCGGCCCTCGCAATGCACACCGCTGTTCCTCGCAGCCTTCACCAAGCGGGGAGCCGGCTGCTGTATCCACACCCATTCCCACTGGGCCGTGCTCGTCACCCTGCTCCTTGAGGCTCGGGGCCCCGGCAAGGATAAGCTGTTCGAGATCAACAACATCGAGCAGATCAAGGGCTTCGGCAAGGGCTTCCAGAAACAGGGTAACCTAGGCTACCACGACACCCTACGCATCCCCGTCATCGAGAACACGGCCCACGAGGAAGATCTCACTGAGTTCTTGGAAGAGGCTATGGATCAACACCCGGACACCTATGCGGTCCTGGTACGGAGACATGGCGTCTACGTCTGGGGCGATAATGTCCACAAGGCGAAGACCATGTGTGAAAGGTGGGTTTTACTCCATTTAAACCCAAACGTCGATCAACTGACCCAGATGTCATCATAGTCTCGATTATCTCTTCCAGCTGGCGGTGGAAATGAAGCAACTAGGCATCCCATGGCTAAGCGATGTTCCCGTAACAGTGCCAACTTCGAAACGGTAAAAGATGCATACTATTCCAACTTCAGACGAAAACATTATCACGTAAAAACTAAGAGCATAGAAAGGGAAAAGGTAAATGATGAATGGTCGTCAACTTTAGGTGGTTCATTATTCGCGTTCTATATAACGTGACTACATCTGCAATTAGTATCGACGTGCCAAATCCAATATTAAAGATTTTCCGTTGATACATCTACTCCTTTTCGCCTTGGTATTCAGATTCTCATCCAACATTGGCAGCATTATAATATACTCGGCCGATCCCATTATTATCCATAGCATTTTTAAATTTCAGCTTATAAGTACAGATAGCTCTCACGCTTATAGAGCGAGGAAAGCAGCTAGGAAGGAGAAGAGCCCGATGCCGGAGCCGACGGGGGAGAAGAGCATGTCAGCGCCACCGGCGGAGGTCGAGGTTGAAGCGGGTGAGTCAGATGAGTCAGATGAGTCGGCAGCGTCAGTTGAGGCGGGAGCGACGGTGGTAGAGAATGATGTGACAAAAGTCGAGCCGTCAGAGGTGACGGTAGACTCAACCTGAGTGACCTTAGGGGTAGCGCTGGTGGTGCCACTGCCACTGCCAGTGGTGGCGCTGGGGAGACCAGTCGAGGTGTAGTAGTACTTGGCAATGCAGCCGCTTACGCAGTCGGCATAGGCCTGGTTGTCGGCAGCAGAACCCTTGCCCTGGGGGCATTGGGCTACACACTCGGTGGTCTGGTTGACGGCTGTGTTGTCGGGGCTGGGCACAGAAATGCACTTGGCCTTGCAGTTGACATCGTCGTCGGAGCCTATTCGTGTACTAGTTAGTTACTGATCTCAGGCATTTTGTTTACTCGAGTAGGTTTATACTTACAGGCCGCGAGGCAATCGAGAAGGGCAGATTGCGCGGAGCTCTGAGCAGGGTCGATGCTAACGGTGGCAGAGGGAACCGAGCCAGTTGAGCCAGTGGCACCAGTGGTAGCCGACTCGCCGGCAGACTCAGCTGAGGAGAGGACGGAAGAGACGACCGAAAGGACAGCGGACGTGACATCGGAGGCGGCAGCTGTGGCAGAGGACTCGGCAGCCGAGATAACATCAGTGATGGTGTTGGTTTCGGACTGGGCACTCGCGACAGTGGCGAGGAGGCCGGCGGCTACTACAGAGAAACGCATCTTGAAGGATATTTGTACAACTCGCGTGTAAAATAATTAGGTATTATTAAGGTGATTATTTGTACGGAGAAGAGAGCAGAGCGAATGTAGACGAAGCCGTTGAGCTAAGTTAGGATCTCTTGTAGACGAGCGAGTGACGAAGTCTTATATAAGACACAGATCGGACGGGGCAAGACAAGAACGAGAACCAAAACAAAGGAGACAGTGGATGATCGACTATTTAATAAGGAAATGAATCAGAGACTTGGTCTCTCCATAGCGCGCCCCTGGGGAAGCCTGCTAGCAGTCATGGACTGGACCAGGGCTAGGTAGGGCCTCGTCCATCAGAACGAAGCGCTAAGACGCCTCCATTTCTCGTCATTGAGCTGTCCAATTTTTCGTGTCGGCCTCGCGCGTTACAATGCATGACCGTTCAAAGCCATCCAATCTAAGACTAGCATGGCTTTGGCTGCCATGGTTGGTGGGCCGGATCCAAGCCGAGCCAGGGGTTTGCAGCTAAATTACAATTAAAATACGACCTTCTTTTTCATGCTACATCACCAAAGACTTGTCACAGCCTCGACGGAAATCCTGATTGTAATGCTGGTTTTGAATCAGCTAAATGGATATTTCGTAACTAGATCGGGGGTTTTTTTGTTATGTTAAGACAAGGAGTATGAAGTATGAGACGGAGGCGGTCGATAATGGGTATAAGAGCCCGAACCGAGGTGTATTTACTACATATGTATTATTTATTGTTATGTATACCTGTACATATGTAGCTATATTGTAGTTGTGTAGGTACGTATATACATATATACCGTATGTTTGTCTCCAAGACATGGGAAGTTTAGCAGGTTACTAGTTTCTGGTATGATCAGGGGCGATCTGACCATCTCTGTTCGCCGTGTGGGGAAGAAAAAGAAGGAAACGCTGGTAAGAAAATCAAGGATTGACTAACATCGTACCAAATTCATCATATTGCTGTGTGATAACTATTGATATTTCGAGCACCGATAATTTTATAATTTCACCTGACAAGTAAGTCTACGTGGTAGTGGCAAGAAGATCTAGCATATTAGATCTCGACTTTATTTTACGGACAAATCGCATCGGTTGCTCTGTTGTCATTTCTAGATTCCAGTCGTATATTATTATCTATCATGCTCATGTTCATGTTGTACTTATTGGCAACATATGTAAAGAATGTATAGACTCGGCCGTCACCAGAGTAACACATTTGTCTACCTATCCTAGCCTAACTAAACAAGCTAAACAAGTGTCTCTCGTCTTATTAGAATATTCCACAGTTTTCTATCCAAGAGTTGTTCGACCCGCCCTCGCAGTCTTGAAAAAAAATTGCAACAAACCCTGCAAGCATTACAACATCACAGCGCCGGTTACCCACTTTCGCATAGCGCAGTACGCTGCTATTTAAAGCAGCACAGCACGTCCCGGAGCGCGCTGTCCAACAACAGCCTAGACCCGAGTGGGACAGTCTTGTCTGTCTGTCTGTCTCAAAGCCGTGCACATACAGCGAGCTTTTTCGAACGTCGGAGTAGAGACGGGGTGGCTGTGCTCGCCCGTTTGCCATTCAGAGCCCCTAGAGAATACGAGGTGCAGTACATCCCGACGCAAGCTCCAAAGCTGACGTCGTCAAATCGAATTCCACGGCGTCGCGTACAATACGTACAACTAACAAAGACCATGTGGCAAACACCTGGAAAGGCTCCCGTGCAGCGGTGAATTACAAAGAACAATTAGGCCGTTGTCCCAGCGTCAGAAGCTTGTTGGTTGACTTACAGCATACATCTACATATACATAGCATCTGGGTAGGTTATGCTTAAATGTCCTGGCCTTCTGATCGTAAACGCGGTAGAAGTGAAAGATCTCGGCTGCAGGCCAAGACCTACCCCAACTCAAAGGGGTAGCGGCTTTGGTTATCTTAGGTAATAAGGTAATAAAGTGAACTGACCTGATCTTGTAGTATCTAAGCATTAATATACACTGTAGAGAGTTCGCCCTGTCATCTTCCATTAATAGCTTGCCATTAGCCTATCCTATCCCCAACGTCGAATTTTCTTATGCAAGTATGATCTTACGGTATTCTAAATGAGAATTCTCAACATTGAAGTTCGAGCACAGTCAAAAATGGGTGTCAAACAACTACTTAAGAGAGTTGTATTACTTGAAATCAACTCCTGAGGCAACTATGGGTACTACTATAAGCAATGGTACTACTATCCTTCCGATCTCATGATCAACTCCTAACCCGTATCTGTTCAGCCATGTTCAACCATGTTCAGCCATTATGTACCTAATTCTTGGTGAATATTATTCCTCGATTCGGTTGTAATTCAATTTAGCTACAGCCTCGTATTCCCGAGGGAAGTTTGCCGCGATATGGTGCTCGCTTATACTCAAACAGGCGTAGTATAATACCCCTACAATGACGCCGCAGCTTCTTTTCCGCGTCTAGTATTTGCTATGTCAATTACGAGCTCTTATTAAGGGAAAGATTAACATGGGATATAGAATCAATCGATGTTTCAGTGCTATGTTCCCATGGGGTCGGGGTCACAAGGTTCGCATCGGCTAAAGCAGTTAAGCAAGGCATCCCTATCAACGTCACTACTCCTAATGCCCCCGCAGTGGTTTGTGCGATTTTCTACTCGACTTTGTGATACAACAGAATCACATCGGAATTAATGTACGTGAAATGAGCCATTTTCATTTATCTGCGGTATTTAACGCAAAGTCAGACGCGAAATCAGTATCTGGCCGGCCTCGAAATACATCTCGACTCTATGGCATGGTCCATGGCCATCTCTTGTGTGAGAAGGTCGTCATTAGCTTAGAGATCCGAATGCATTCTCTCTAAATCCGTAAAGGAGAAAAGTCAAAGATACCGCCGACGCGCAAGCTTCATCAATCATAAAGCAGTCTCCCAAAAATCCGTAAGACGGCCGCATGGAGCCGGAAAGGCTACCATAAGATGCGAGTCGACCTCTTCGTGTAAGTCGACTTATAGTGACTCCTCAATCTTCTTCAGGCACTCCGGGAACTCTTTCCAGTCGTACATGATGACATTGGCTTTGCACTGCTCGGTCAAGAGCTTGGCCATCTCCTCCATCTTCTCCTTACCCTCTTCGATACCGTAGACACCGACGTAGCCAATCAGAGGGATACCCGCACGCATGGCAGCGGTAGCGCCGCTCTTGCTGTCCTCGACAGTAACGCACTCCTCATTCTTGACACCTAGCTGCTTGCAGGCGTAGTTGTAGATAGCAGGGTCAGGCTTGCTAGAAGGAGGGTTCAGGCTAGTAGCAGCGCTGTAGACGTGCTCGTCAGTGAAGTAGTGGTCAATACCGACCTTCTTCAGACTAGCAACGACACGGGGCTTGGCTGAAGTGCTGACAACAGACATGGGGTACCCTGCTTGCTTGAGCGCCTCAAGCTGCTCAGGTGCGCCGGGGCAGGGCTGGCACTTCTCGCTCAGCTTTGCAGTCACGGCACCAAGCTCGCGGTCGACATATGCATCTACCTCCTCGGGTGTCATAGTGAAGCCATGCTTCTTCTGCAAGCCATTGAGCATACCACGGAAATTGTGGCCGACGAAGTCCTCTAGCAGCTGTTCGACAGTGTAGCGCTCAGGTCTGCCCCACTTCTCTAAGACCTCGTTGGTCAAGTCGGTGCAAGCCTCAAAGGCCAAACGCTCCGACAGACAAAGCGTGTTGTCGCAGTCGAGCAGGACGTACTTGACCTATAACTCATGTGTTAGATAAAATTAAACATCTAAAAAAATTGAAAACACAAAGAAATATGAAAATGGAGTAAACAAAAATAACCACTTACACGAGGCATGTTGGATGATGCAAGGATGGCTGAATGAGTCGTGCTGGTGCTTGATCGGGTGGATTTAGAGATAGAAAGTAGTTGATCTTATTGTAGATGACGAACTACTGCGATGGTTACGTAGATTTCAAGATCACTGCGGGGAGCTTCCTTCTTACATTGCGGGGTTTTTTTTCGCGGACCTGCACGACACCATAGTACCTGCCTCACGCATAACTAAAACAGCTAAGGTAGGAACTAATAGTCTTAACTTCAGTACAGTATCCGTGGTTAAACGGGCAAGCACGGGGTAAATTAGCAGTAGGACCGATGAGTAGCACCGATAGGAGGGAAGTTACTATCTTAGGTGTTACCGTCGTGAATCATATGTTAATACCTTTTTAGTGCATAATAGCTAATTTTTACATATTTTACATATTCTGTATCCACTTAGATGCCAACGTAAGGTACCACCCTTACGTATTGTACATGTGTAGTTGCCTTCTTGGCAAAGCTACCTAACTTTGTATGGTAACCCATTGAATTGGCCATTCAATTTAGACATCACCAGTTTCGTGAAAAGCTACCTGATCACCACCTACCCGGACTCCCGAAAATATGACTTGGATTTCCAAATTAGTAACGGCTTTCGGGCTATTACTTCTAGCAGATTCGTAAGGACACCTATCTCTCTAAAGTAGGAGAATATTATAGCTTACAACAGCTTCCGTTTTTAGGTGTTACTCTGCTTACGAACATTCTGTTCTACAAACGCATCGAGCCGCATCGCTCTCTTCCTTGACTACATCACACAGCGGTGCAACTGCGACGCTACCGATCGATATAACCATTGAAACTATCGTCGCAACATTTATTGTCTGTCTGGGCATGGTGTTGGGGACGTCTAACTTGAGGCCCATCCAATGGCGTGTTTGGGCAGGGAAGATTGAGCGAGAAGGCGAGGCAGGATTTTTAAACAGCAGCGGAGAGGTAGAGAAAGACTATGTTGGGAATCCATTCCGGCTATTAGAGAGTCGTCCAGGATTTGTCGATATTCGGAAGCAGAGGAACGAGTTTGCTGAATGGGTCAAAAACAAATAGACTCGAAGTCGAGCGATGTGTATAGAGGCCATCCGGAGATGCCGGTACCAGGCCAGACTCGCTATTCTCATGATTTTATAGAGTAAACATATGGGAGACGTGCTCGAAGCTACTAGGGTACTGCGCTATGTTCCGCAGCTCGTTTAAAGCAAGACGAAATATAATTATCCTACACACATACCACCGACACCAGTGGACTTATTGAAGGAATAGAACGAAGCCGAGTGGGGATGATGTTACCTCTATTGCTCTTGGGCGTGTCTTTGGAAATCACGGTAAACATCTTCCGCAAGAAGGTAGCACCTTCCATGTTCCTCCTAAACTCAAGTATGAGACTGCTCCTTCTATAACGAGGAGCAATACTAGAATCGAAGATTTTTCTAGCCAGAAGCGCTAGTTATCTAATCCATCTAATCCACATACCAGCCGTCTCCCTCATCTCCTATTACATATGTATAAAATACCTATAATATATCCCATGTAAAGTGCCATCCTCTGAGAAACCAAAACCACAATATGCCGCGCAGTCAAAGATATCAGACCCCATCTAGGGTATCATCAGAGCAATCAATTCATACTAATCTCTTCAGCCAGTCTAGCTCATTATTCGTTCCATCAGCTATAAACAATCGTGTCTTCTCAACCCCTAATCAGGTACAGAATCATGCCGCTCCTGCATATCTCAGCTCGTCAAATAGGAGTTCGTCAAGGGGGAACTTAAGTCGTGTAGGCTCAAGGGCTACAATACGTCCCTATCTGTCTTCCCCTAATCTCCCACAGCATCCTCAAAGACAAAGGTTATCCTTACGCCCACCATCTAGTCAGATCTCAGCAAATAATTCCAGTCGTCTTGAAGGTGATGATGACTCGCACGTCGACCATGTGCTATCTAACGAAGATGCAGACGCATTAAGGGAAATCATCCTAGCAATTGATATGAAAGACAATGGCAACCTTGGTTGTGCTTATTACATTGCAATTGATGAAACCTTGTTCCTCCTTGAAGACGTAGCTATGTCAGGAATAGACCTAGTTGAGACACTTCTTTTTCACGTCAACCCTACTACCGTGCTTATATCCTCCAGGGCCCCAGAGAAATTAGCAGACTATCTTGAGAGGAGGGCACAGGGGGTTGACGGGAATCGAGGCAAGCTAAAGTTTTGATATAAACGCGTCAAGCATTGCTAACGAGTCGTATAGATAACTTGCAGAGTGCATATATCCTAAGAAATCTTAACTCTGCCGACTTCCGTTATGATGTTGGGAAGGGAAAACTGTTGGCACTAAATCTTGAAACGCCAGGCCGCCAGAGCGTGGTTTTCACGTCTGTCGTTGATGACATCGTGGATGAGGCCGATGATATTGGCGGGCACGAAAGCTCAAGGCAAGGTCGCCTGATGCGCCTTGGGACTTCGATAAACCTTGATAGCCGACTAACGGTTAGATATTGCCATCTATTTATGTTATGTCGTATTTCTAACGAGTGGCAGATTGGTTGTGCTGGTGCAGTGCTTGGAGACCTTCAGAGAAGGAGAACCGTAAATTACTTACCAAACGACCCTGATGCCCTAATAGCATTCAGAATCAGATCGGTCGAGATGTTCGCTTTATTTGACTCCATGTTTGTCAACGCTGATACTCTGGTGTCCCTTCAGATTCTACAGTCTGAGTATCATCCAAACAGCCATCTAAGAGGTCCCAGTAATTCAGGGGCCAAAGAGAGTTTATCCGTCTACGGGCTCTTTCAACATCTGGCCCGTACACCCCAGGGAAAATTGAAGCTCCGCCAGATCTTTCTACGGCCAAGCACTAACATTGATTTGATCCACGCCCGCCAGAAGACGATATCTTTCCTGCTGCGACCAGGGAATACCGAGGCCCTCGTACAGCTAAGCAACGAGCTCAAAAAAGTCAAGAATATGAAGTCAGTGGTAGCCCTTCTTGAAAAGGGAGTCGACATACCCGGGCGTAAAATTTCCATAGCGAATAATGTCTGGGCTTCGCTGCAACGATTCGCAGCCTATAGCTTACAGATTGGAGAATCGCTTCGGACCCTACCGGGTTCAGAGAATATTGAAATTATTAGAAAGGTAAGACATGGTAAATTTCTATATTTAGCACAGAGTCTTAAAGTATTACTAGGTGATCAGTGTCATTCAGCCGCTTGCCCTTCGCCAAGTAGGCGAGCTCATCAGTCAAACCATTGATTTCGACCAGTCAATGGAACGCGGGAAGACAGCCGTCAAACAAGGCGTGGATGCCGATCTAGACGAATTGAAGCGAAGTTATGATGGAATGGAACATTTCTTAACCAACGTCATCGCAAAACTACGAAGCGAGTTGCCAGAATGGGCAAGAAAGTACATACAAAACTGTATATTCTTTCCGCAACTAGGTTTCTTAACGGTAGTGTCACTTAATCCCGAGACAGGAAAGGGTAACTACAACGGTGAAGGTGTAGATGATGTATGGGAGCGTATGTTTGTAGCCGAGGGTTGCGTATATTATAAGAATCGGCAGATGAAGGAGATGGATGAGCATTTTGGAGATGCATACTGTATGATTATTGGTAAGCTCCTTTTTTATATACGCCACATTACTTAGTTGACATACTGATATTCTATAGATCGGGAGATTGAGATTATTCACGAGCTCGCTGTGAAGGTTTTGGCGCAACGAGAAGCCATTATTGCAGCGTCTGATGTTCTCGGCGAACTCGACAGCCTGTTCGCGCTGGCGATTGGTTGCGGGCAGTACAACTGGATTGCACCTAAAATGACTACTCAAAATATCATACACATTGAAGGGGGCCGCCATCCTTTACAGGAGCTTGTGGTCCCATCATTCATTGCCAATGACTGTTTCCTCGCTGGTGGGCCAGGTGAACAAAACGACGAAGGAGAAGATGCGAGCGCTGCAGAGCTTGAGCGGAACTCTATAGAACATCCCAGCACCTTGGTCCTGACAGGACCGAACCACTCTGGGAAGAGCATATATCTAAAACAGGCCGCTCTCATTGTCTATCTGGCACATATTGGCTGTTTCGTCCCAGCTGAACGAGCTCAGATCGGAATCACGGATCGTATTCTTACACGTATCGCTACACGTGAAAGTGTGGCGAAGAATGAAAGCGCATTTTCTATTGACCTACGTCAAGTTGCCTTTGCAATGAATTTTGCAACACGCAGGAGTCTCGTGTTAATAGATGAGTTCGGCAAAGGTACAAATAGCCTAGACGGTGCTGGTTTAGTCACAGCGGTACTAGACCATTTTACTTCTCTCGGTCCCGAACGACCCAAGGTTTTAGCCGCCACGCACTTCCACGAGATCTTCGAGGGCCAATTCTTAGTAGAGACCCCAGAGCTAGCCTTTGCGCACATGGAAATTCGAGTTGACTTCGATGCTCCAACTACGGAGGATCAAGTCACGCATCTCTTCCAGCTAGCTCCAGGCCGAAGCATCTCCAGCTTTGGCAGTCGGTGCGCGGCGATGAATGGGATTGATGAGGCTGTGGTTCAGAGAGCCGAGTCGATTATGTTGATGATTGTTAATAATGAAGATCTTGAGGTCGTGTGTACTAGATTATCGGATTCAGAGATGCAGAAGCTCGAGGAGGCTGAAGCTGTTGCGCGAGCTTTCCTTGAGCAGGATATTAAAGCGCCGCCTGGTGGTGGCGGTGGGAAGAAAGGAAAGGGCATCGATGGGCGGTATAGAGGGATCCTTGAGCATGTATTGTTGGGCGATGAGTCGACTTCGGGTTCGAATCTGGGGGTTAGTTGACGAAATATAGCGGGAGGCACAGGCGGATGTCTTCGGATTCATCGTAACAAGTAATCATGGCTATGGGCATCTCAAGCTACCTCATAGTTAAAATAAAATAAAAGATAATATTGCTTTCCTTAACCTAAGCACAGGCGTGTTGTATAATGTGCTCAAGACCTTGTCCCCTTACCTTCAGAGGCTCCAAAGACAATAATCTGATACGACAATCCACTTTATTGCCAATTAGACCCTAGGATAAGAATAGGGGAAACCCCTTTTCCAATGTCCAGTGGGCGAGAATCAAGTATCATGACCAAATCGTCTAGAACTGCCATATGACATCACAACACTGCTTTAAGGGGCTCTTTGCCGTACCTGCTAGCCAAAGCAAATCTATCTATCAGATCTCAAATCGAACACTATAAACTTGTTAATACGAATATATCACGAGCAACACCACACTAACGAACGATTTCTCATAATCGAGCTTCTGTTTTTAATTATCTCCACTATCAATATCAACATCAAAATCAACAACCGAGGCAGCACCTCCGCATCAGGGTATCTCCACCGCACGAACCGCAAGCAGATCGCTCTTCTCCCCCCCGCCAGACAAACCAACTAACTGCGCTCAAGTCTGCTTGTCTGCCCGTTTGTCTGTTACGGAAATGTCTTGCGAGACTACCAGCTGGCCAGCCCGGCACAGCAAAAACATTTATCTATGGTAGTCCATTGCCGCTTTTTCTTCTAGGGTATTATTATACATTGACGCAATACGTACACTTGGAATGGAAAAAAATCAACATCGTGTTTGGGCGGCCCCTATGCCAGTAAGAGCCGCTGCTAGACTGGCTAGCTGGCTGACGATTACCAGCCGAAAGCCATAGTGGCACCGACGGCTAGGACAGCAGCGAGAAGAGAGGCTTGGCTGCTGGAGGCGGAGCCTTCTTCCGTAGAGTCGCCAGAGGGAGCGCTGCCGGGTGTACCGTTGGAGCCCTGAGCACTTGAATCCTCGTCGTCTGAGCTGGAGCTAGAGGCAGAGCTGGAAGAGCTGCCGGTGGGGGTACTGGCGGCGGCGCTAGAAGTAAGCGTGGTGGCAGCGACTAGGAGAGACTCGGAAGCGGTGGGAGCCGGGCCAGCAACAGCAGTGGTATCAGACAAAACGACGCTGGAGGCGGAGCCCTTGGTAGCGCTGCCAGTAGGTGCCGGGCCTGAGGTAGACGAGCTAGGACCGTCGATCTTGTTGGGCGAGCCAACACTCATGATGACCGAGGGCTTCGCGGTAGACGATCCACTAGTAGAGGTAGGCTTCTCGTCAGAGGAAGAAGAATCGGAGTCAGAGCCAGAGCTAGAACCCGTATCGAAGCCAGCCTTGCCCTCAGCGGCCTGGAGGGCGGACTTGGGGATGTCGCAGTTGGACTGAATGGGGCCGGTCAAGTCCGCGAGAGTGGTGTCGGACGAGCACCACTGGTTCATGCATACTACGACGTCGGACAAAAAGCTGCCGCTAACCTTCTTGCACATGCAGTCCACGTCGGTGGGAGGGCAGCCATTCTGTCGGACACAGCTCGTGATGCAGGTCGGGAACGCGGCCTGCACGAGGGAGGAGCCGAAGAGGGCGGCGTATAGGAGAGTTGCGGTTTGCTGCTTTGCTAACATTTTGCCGGATTGATAAATGAATGGATAAGATATAGTATGTACTTCGTAGAGAGTGGTATTATTAGAAATAGGGTTCTTCTAGAAAACGAATGTTTGCGCGCTGAAAATGAATGAATGCTATCAGGCCTGTCTGATGTGATAAGTGACAACTAAAGAGCGCGAAGCTGAAGAAATAGGGACAGCGACGTGAAGTTTGACAGCGCGGGATTTCACGTCATATTGTATGGTAAATGGGCTCGGCATCGCTGCCGAGCCTAAAAAGAGATTACCGGGATCCCAGTGTTTGCTGGTGAAGGTATGAAACATCGCAAACTAGGATTATCGGCGTGCCAGACGATAATCTCTGTCGGTTTTGGGGGCAGCCTTTAGGCGATCTTTAATTACTCGGCCCGCTTGCGAGCCAATGCAAGGGACTCGAACGTCACAAGCTGCCCTTTTTTACTGTATTGCCAAGCCCTACTAGACGGGGCACCGTCTACGGTTGGTCAGGATGAATGGCTAGCTGTGCCATAAGCGGATCATCTAGAGAAGATCTCTGGGGTAATCTTCATTTTACTTTTTAAAGGGGTTGATAGGAGGGAGAAAAAAGTGTCATTCAGGGGATTTCTGGTAATGCATACAAATTTCGTCGGCAGAAGCGTTCTTGTGAGGGTTGAAAGATTTCCTCGCCCCTTCTGCGCTGGTTACGAAGCCGCAGCTTTCGTAGAATGATATCGCATCGCCGTTTGACGTATACACGACGAGGCTCAGCTCGAGGCGTTTGCCATGCTGCTTAGAATAAGCGAGCGCCTCTTCTATTGCAGTCTCGGCTAGGATTTTGGCGAGACCTTGGCGTCGAGCCTCTGGCAGCGTATAAACGCCGCTGATCTGGAAATATACAGATGAGGCCTCACCGTGATTCTGGCAATGATGATCGCTACCATCTCTCATTTCGGAACTGACTTGGAACGGATTGCTAGCCGGGTCTGGGTTCGGCATTGGTCCAATTAATGACGTAGCGGATAGAACCTTTCTATCATGCAGGCGCACGGCCACGAAGGTCTTTACAAGAGGGTTATTAATGCGGCTGAGCCAGTCGACATTACTAAAGTTGATTTCTCTATTGTAAGTCGAGCCGAAGACTATTCGTATAAGTGGCCAGCCAGGCCCGCATAGTCAGTAAATCATATCAGTTATCATGTTGTGTCAACCTCGGGGGGCACCAACACGTATGACAGAATCATTTGTCGGTGAACCTTACCGTCAGGATCTTGTTCCAACGCAGCCAGCCTGAAGGGCTTATAATAGTCCAAGTAGAAGCGAGAGCCTTCTTCGTCAGGCGATATAAGCTCAATGCGCCATTCTGTGAGACCGGACATGTTGGTTCGAGACAAATGTTCAAGATGCAGCCGCGCTTATGATAAAAAAGGATAATGATTGGACTCGGATGTGCTAATGGATACCGGTAGGCGGGTTTGTCATAGCCACCCGGTTTGCTTCCGCGCTTCATTATAGATCATTAAAGAGAGTTTTAGAAAGTTAAGATACATACGAACTTTCTAGGTTAGGACGTTGAACTTTGTATTAAGCAAATGTGAGTCATTATTTTATATATGGGAGCTGCACTCTAATCGTAACTACTATATCTTAACGTCTTAATAAGAAAATGGCTTACCTAGGTAGCTTATTATTCGTAGTTGCTCAAATAATGCTACATAATGTAAGCAAGTATCTTACCTAAGTACCTACATGTAGATAGCTGTTGCTGCGGTCAATATTAGTCCAATTATAAGATAACTACATCAATCTATGTTTGTTAGACGGTTGCATGCATGTTTTATGTAGGGTCTAAAGGGGCAGAGCAGAACAGAGCAAGAGCAGGATCCAATCTGGTCGGGCGGTTAACTTTAGGTACTACTAAACCTTATGGGACGACCCGATATCTACCGCCCTCGATCGCAATTCTATGAACCCAGTCATTGGTCATTTCCTCCCTTATCCCCACCCACCAAGACCACCAAGACCCCCGATATGAATGATGTCGCCTGCTCAACCAATCCCTGCATGTGACGAACCACCTGTGACAGGCGTCGAATAGCTGAAAAGTGTAGAAAGTCCGTATTGTATCATAGCCTCGCTCGATTTTTTTTTCTCTTTTACAATATAGCAGTACTATATAAATCCCACGATGAGTTTTAATCTAACCTTCATACTATACTCTCATCTTAAGAACAAAAATCAGTAATCTTGATCTTACGTGATGGCGTCCAGTGATGATACAACTCCTCCCGAGAGCCCCGGGTCTGTCTTCCATGACTTTGACCTGGAGCATGTCTTTAAGAAAGCCGAGCAGCACGTGAGAAGTGAGGAAAGCAAGAATTTCGTCGTTGAGTTCGGGTCCGAAAGAGCGCGGATTGCATTCGACTTTGATATAGATGACGCTAGGAAGTTGCTGCTTGACCAAGACCCCGACGAAAAGAAAGAATACCCTATTCGATGGATGTAAGTTATAAGTCTTTGATATAGCTATGACGGATAGACTAATGAAGGCCATAGCAACATATGGGACCCTAGTGGGCAGAAAGATATCATGAAGGCCATAAGCGATAGATACGAATTTTCGCCTAGGTTGCTTGGTCTAATGACTACGCCAAGAACCCAGAGGGACGAGATACGACGGCATAAACATAGAAGAAGGGTCACAATTGCCCACCTACGAGGGCCTAGGGACGTGGAGAAAGGTGAAAGCGTATATGGCGACTTTCCTGTGAACCCTCCTACGAACCCATCTGCTCCCGCAGAGCTTAACGATAATATTGCTCTTTATTTACAAGTGAAAGACACTGTAAACTACTTCTCTACAGACCAAACACCGAAGGGTAAGTACTTCTCAAGATAACAGATTTGCTTCACCGTGCTAACCTCATTAAAAAGCCTTCTGTATCGGTGCAAATTGGCTACATAAGCGGCCAACACCAGTACGCAAACACCCTCGGATTAGTATAATGCCACCCAAACACTGGCAATGGCTTGTACTCTGTAATAATCGTATGTGCTACGACGTTATCATTGCGATACTACACAATTACTAATGTTTTGAATAGATACTGTTCTGTCGATCCATGAGCAGCACTCGTTAGAGCCAGTACCGGACAAAGAGGACTGGATAAAGTGGCGTCAAGCTGAGTTCGAGTATATGAGAGCTCATACATTAGACATACTCCGACAACTTTCCACCAAAGGATATATACTATATGAAAATAACCCACTCGCTCAGAGCTCGGTTCGGACATCGCTAGGAACATCCAAGCGAGAAGTAAACAGACAACAATCGGGGATGTCTCTTTTCAGCAATAGCGAAATAGGGAGTTTAGCTGATGAAGGGACAAGTAACCTCTTCTATTACTTATTTGAAGACTACGTTGCAGCAGGCCCTCTCAAGGCTGCAGAACAGGAATTGGAAGAACTGGTAAGCTGAGTTTTCCTCCGTATAGAAAAGTCGATACTAACCTTCATTGCGTAGACTGAAAAGGTGCTGGAGAGTACGGTGCGTCGAACCGCCATCAACTCCGCATGACAACTACTAAGTATTATATTATAGCGTCGAAAAAAAATGTCCAAGAGCTACGAGATTATACCTACATTACATTATCTAAGCAAGGATCTCCGAGAGTTCAAACATTTGTTCGAGAACTACAAAAACCTAATAAGCAAGATCATGGTAGTTGGGAAGCCCGAGTTACATCATAACGGTGCATTATTCGATGGCGATCGAAAAGTATACCTATCGAACTCGGCGCTCAGTCGATTTGATAGGTTAAGCGATCGGCTTCAGTATCTCATGCTGAACACCATCGAAGGTTATCTCGAAGAAATAGGGGCGTTATCAACTACAGTAAGAAAGAGCAGCCAATCACATCACCTAGTTCGTGAACATGGCTAACTTTACACAGTACTTCAACTTAACGCAGCAGAAAGACTCGCAGGCAACGGCAAGACTGACGAGAAGCGCAACGCTGCTAGCTAAGCTCAGCGTCTTCTTTCTCCCGATTAGTTTTATGACGAGCTACTTTTCAGTGCAGGTCGAGGATCTGTACGTGTACTGGACCGGCAAGATGTATTGGACCGCGTTTGCGGTGATAGCGAGCGTTTCGTTTGTGAGTTTGTTCTTCTTTAGTAGACTGCTCATGTTCGCAATAGACGAACTAGATGCTTGGGCAGCCGTCACGGCGGAATGGATGAGTAGGGTTCTTCAAACACTTCGAACTTGGTTGAGACTTAAACCTAAGGATGTTGATAAAGATGATTAAAGAGATGGATCTGGGCTGTACTTCGAATTGGGATGTACTTTGGTTAATGGCATGAATGAATATCTGGTAGGAATATATGACGAGACGTCATAGTGTATGATGCACGAACTTAGCTATATGTAATGGATTAGTATAATAGGATATGTAACTAATATGAGTGTGGGATGCATATACGATTTGAAGGTGGGAGACAGGTTAACGGTAATATATCCGGGTCATTTGTTATATATATGGTACCAGCTGATCTAGACAAGCTAAGATAGTGCTTACCAGATATGTATGTATTTACTCTTACGTATTGTGGGCTAGGTAAGTTGGGTAAAATGCTTACATACACGTATATTACGTAGACGAAGCTACCCAAGATATATACCTTACATGATTAAGCCCCTCTAAACCAATAGAAATGTATTTGATATAACCCCATTAAACCTAAATTTATTTCTTGAGTACCAGGTATAAAATATTATTTATGCTGAATTACCTAATAATAGGTAGATCTATGTTCGAGCTATGTAGTACATGCAACGTACGTAGAGGTAAGCTTGAGATACATTTTAGCATTTGATCTTTAACCTTCTATTTTGCATGCATTAGCTTTAAACCAGGAGGGGAAACTGGCCTCGTGACTCTCGACTTTGATGTTTTTGTAGGTACGAAGTTGTACAATTCTTAGGGTACATCTTTCTTAGGCACATGCATATGTGCACGTAATTCTTACATATACTCCTTTTCTCTTCGCCTCTTTGATTCGTGTCCTTTTTTTATTTCTTATAATCTACATTCATCCTATTGTTCCCATTCAAATTGATTACTTACATGAAATAAAGACTATTATAAGGTAGGTACTTAGTATTTTTTTTTAAAACACATAACTTATCCAGAAAAGATCTCGTGGGATGAAAGTGCATATGTATGTACCACGCAGTATGTAGGACATTACCACCTCTTCCCAAGATTCAGGTGCTCTAGGGCTGCAGCTACCCCTGCCGACCCTGCCACCCCTGGTTTTAGTTCGATCAATTAGCTCGATTAGTTGGTCCCTGACCACTACTAACCACTTCTACAGGTCAACTACCCGTTGATCACATCCTTTACGCATACCCAATTGCATACCATTCACACCCTTTTTCTTCTGCATCGGGACGGTAATGACGTTTTGCTGCTTGTTGGTACGTACAACCATCGTTTAAAACGTCTTAGCCACCTCAAGTTTGTCCTCCGCTTCAACGTTTGATCGCTCTTAAATTATTACCCTTGCGACACATCCACAATCTATATTCTCCCACTCGGACGCTAGGCGGTGAACTTTTTCTTTTTCTATTTATTTACTTACTTTAGAAGAAGTAGGCAAATTCTTTCGAAATTTCGATCCCTCCATGACCTTCTACTGTGCTCCTAAAAAGAACGACGAGTAATCAACCGAGCACTTGTGCAATATGCCTTCGCTTAACTCCAACGGAGTCGCCAACGGCCACTTTGGCCAGTTACGACACATTCCCATTTCCTACGATAACGACAATTCCAATGCCTCAGCTCGTGCACTCATTCTCGCCCTGTTTCCAGAATGGTCGAGCCCTGACTCCAATATCGAATTCGTACCATTCAAGGATGGTATAACCAACACATTATTAAAAGCCATTAATAAGAAAGAAGGACTATCTCAAGACGAAGTAGATAAGGAGGCGGTTCTACTACGAGCATATGGACACGGAACCGATGTGCTCATAGACAGGCACCGCGAGACCCAAAATCACGAGCTGCTAATGAAATGTGGCTTGGCTCCCGAATTACTCGCTCGCTTCGATAATGGCATGATATATCGTTATATCCGAGGCACACCCACTCAACCTGCCGACTTGAGGATGCCACCTATATATTTAGCTGTTGCGAGGCGGTTAGCACAATGGCACGCTACCGTGCCCTGTATATATGAGACGCATGCGCAGAAGAACGGGGTTAATGGGGCCAGCAACGGTCACCATGAAGTAGAAATTGAGCATGCCGCACCAGGCAAACCCTCGCCCAACGTATGGACGGTTATGCAGAAGTGGATCCTTGCCCTCCCTACCAAGACGGAGGCTCAGCGCACGAGACAGGCGAACCTCCAGCATGAGCTGACTAAGCTAGTTGACGAACTGAGCCAACGACCTGGACTGGGTGATAATGGCGTAAGTAGTACAGGAAATCCAACTAGCAGTTTTCTCGGACACTAACCAGAGATACTCGTAGCTCGTCTTTGCGCACTGCGATCTCCTGAGTGGAAATGTGATCATTGAGCCTCAAGATTTAAGCAGCACTAAAAAGGAGGGCGGTCTGCAGAAGGTAGTCAGTTTTATAGACTATGAATATGCCACTCCTTCGCCTGCAGCGTTCGACTTGGCTAATCACTTCGCGGAATGGGGTGGGTTTGACTGCGACTTTACTGTGTTGCCAACTCGAGCACAACGGCTAGAGTTTATACGGGAATATATTCACACTTACTTTAGTATATTACCTAACAAGCCTGATAACATAGACGAGGAAGCAGAAGCACAAAAACTGTTTGCTGAAGTAGATATATTCCGTGGTGTGCCTGGACTTTACTGGGGAATCTGGGCCTTGATCCAGGCGACCATCTCGCACATCGATTTTGACTACGCGGAATATGCCGAGATTAGGTTAGGAGAGTACTGGGGATGGAGAGAGGCCAGTAAATCCGACGGCAAATTAACAGGAACGGAGTTGTCGGTACGGGAAAAGAGGTGGGCACAGTTGGAATAGATCTTCTGGCGTTTTAGGGGTAACAGTCTTGGCCGCATTTTAATAGATACCATAATGATAAAGGGCACGTTTGAGGAAACTTAGACTACGCGGGAATTATAGCTACGATCGTATAATACTTGAGGCTAGACGGAGGAGTTGGGAGGGGGCATTTAGAATAGTCTTGGACTTGAGCTAAAGCGGTATCGATGTGTTTTTCATCCTGAGAAATGAGAGTGTTGCTTGATTGATAACTTGGATTGATGATATGGTACTTTAGGTAGCTTTCAGGTATGAATGCTCACTGGATTGTAAGATTCTCGGTTTATGTGTATATGTGAAATAATATATACATCGCAAGTATTTAGATCACAATCAGAAGCCGGATATAAGATACTCCTAACCCTAACTCTCGAGCTGACTGACCCGAAGTATTGGCCTTGAACAGTTCGGTGGGAGAAACAAGTGGGCATAAAAGACCGCTGGGTAGTATGAATCGCTACGTATCAGGGGTAATGCATCGATGTCTTGTCTGCAGGTAACAGCTATTTGAAAGCCTCTGTCTGGCTATGAAGGGCGTATTGAGTTATAATGTAGCTCTGTCCTACAGGAGAAGAGTTATTAAGTAGCGTCTTATTCCTTTTGGTGTTACTAGAATATCGCAAGACTATGTTAGACTATTATATTTCCCGTGGCGGCCCCGTCGTACATCTCATAGTGTTATAGTTATGTTGGTTAACGGGATAAAAAAAGGGGCGGTGGGAGGTCGTTATGCTGAGGGATATATAAGACTATTGGTTTAGGAACAATTGTTAGGGGTTTTTAAGATGAAGCGCTATGTGAAGTTCGAGGATAACTGTCTACGTAGTTCGAAGCTTAGTTTTAGAGATTGATAGTAGTCTACGTCATGAGAAGGCGTAATGAAGCGTACCATTTTACGTACATCATTGTTGTTGATATCAATTATTTCTAACCTACCTACCTACCTACTCCTACTAACATAAACCCGCCAGTTTAGCTGTTAAAAGCGAATGCAATCAAGTCGTCTGCCTCTGTCCTGTTTCGATGAATTTCTTGAGCGAGCGTAAGGTCATCAAGTTTATTATTAAGATGGCTTCTCAAGTATATGGACTGGGAATATGTGTAAGCTTAACTTTGACAAGCGTATCAAAGAGGATGCATAGAATATATATGTACCTAATATACCAATGAGTACTTAGGTAGCCTTTACAAGGTGTAGGATTATATGTTATGGAGAATTTAAATGTGCATTTATATGTGTATATATGTGAGAGTTATATAAGAATAGCTACCGAGCCTCACCAGTCATGCATTATTGGCTAGCCTAGATTAACAAGTATAAATAGCTGTTTTATATTGTTCCACCTCCTTCGGGACTACTTCCAAGAGATAAATTTCTTACTACATTAGATTCCAATAATATTATTCGAGAGCTATTGGTAGCGATGGATCGGTTGAGCACTTCTCTAAGTAGTAGCGAAATATCTAAAGGACTGCTTGGTAGCCCATCCAGGGTGAAGGCCATCTCGGTGTAGTCCACATTTCCGGCCTTGAACTGTGCCCCAACTCCCTGGAGAGGTGGCAGTTCTTGATAGCTTGCTCGAGGATGAGACATCTGAATACGAGGATGTGAGCATCGGAGGCGACGGGCCATGGTAATGTTGGGTTTTTAAGACTAAGTTGAAGTCAGCTCCATAACTATGAGTATATCGTATGGGTTGATATTATACCTAATGCTCGAATATATTAAAGTGTAGGTTTCCTAGTACTAGTATCAAAGCTGTGGTAAAAGGGGTAGCTAACGAAACTCTTTGGATCACGAGCATCTCTTCAAGGCGGTGGTTGTAGGCAGTTATTAGTGGTACCAGGAGGTAATATGTACTCAAGCTGCGATAGTAGATCGACAACGAGAGAATTCACCGTGGAATGAAAACTACGATGTCGCCAATTTAAACATTAGATAAATATTATAAACTGTAAGGAGAACGAGTAAACATTAGAGAAGAAGAAAAAAGAAGTTCATAAGAAGCTGACACTTCCATAGTAGGTGATAGTTATATAAAGCTTAAAGATCATGGATAGACACTAATAGTCGCTACATGGAAAGTAAAGCGGCGATCTATCAATGGGTAAGGATAGTGAGGAGGCACGGGGATAACCTGCATCCTTTAATACTAGAAATAGTGAACACTCTATTATCTAGTTACGGAGGGGGAGGGGGAAGCTGTTGGACAACAACCTTGACTCAAGTGTGTGAATATTAATAATTACGTATCTCATTGGACTATTAATTATGAACTGAAGGATAAGCATACGCGTTCTATCCCCTGGTTTCTCTAGTGCTCATTTTGATATCACGATGTCGATGGAAACGACAAGTGTTATCACGTTAACAGTTCACTAATAGTTTACCAAGCCGATCGCAAATACCATCAAGATATTTGACGATACTGGCGAATAACAACTATCCCACCACCAGTTCTCGAAGATAAAATCGAATCACCGCACATCAGCGGCGCGCCGTCGTGCAAGAAGTCGGACATTATGATGGGTTTGGGGGCCAGCTGAGAGTAAGGCAAGTTTTGACTATGTCCAAAAGGAGAATTTGGAATGCCGCCTTATCGCCTTATCGCCCTATCGCAGCCCCAATCCGCGCAGCACGTCAGCTAAAGGTACTTAGGTACTTGAATGGAAAAGAGACTGGGGTGGTATTTGAGAGCTGAGGGAATCGGCAGGCTTCGCAGTGCTCCGAACGCACAGATAAGGAATTGCGAACCTTCCTCGAGGCGTGGTGTGGAGACCATTATAAGCCCACCAATCAAAAGGATTTCTATATCTCGAGCTGCAAAGGGTTTAGTTACCAAACAGCCAGCCAGACAAGGGTATGTTCAAAAGTGGAGATTATGGGAACAGGGAAGGAGAAAGGGCCTAAAATGAATTTCATATTCTCTCATATCTTCCCTCCATTTACAAAGCATCTGGTACCTTTCTAGATTATCATTAGCTAGTCGACCTACTCGACAAAATATAAATACATATACGTAGTATCTGGTCTATTTGCCCATTTGTCCATCTACCCATCTATTCACCTGCAGGTATATTCTTGGCGACGCGCAATCCTAGGTGTGACGAGCGTGTTCCGGACATGATGATTCGAACAAAGAATATACTCTTTGCTGCTGGGTGAGCTTTGCATGCCGCCTGTTTCTGACCGCCTCTGCCCTTGCAATTCTGTCATTCGCGCACGCGATTTCGCTCGTTGCCACCTCATCTTTCATCGGCCTTGCTTCCCCAACTCCTTCTACTTACTCCCCATGTTGCCTAGCTACGTATGTAGTCCGACACTTATCCATATCTTCTACCTATTATACTACCTACGTACGGGGCTACATACATGTAGTTAGTACGACAGGGGTTAAAGAGAGAAATGGGCGGCTTTCCTCAAAGGGCAATGCTGAATCGGAGCTGATAGTCACACGTTGCTTAATGAGGGAAGTGGTTTCAGCAGGCGCTGAAATCGGACTATTCCTTTCTCTGACGAGAAAATGCCTGTGCGGAATATACATATGAGGCAAGTCAGAGGAGAAAAAGAGGCAGTGAGAGAAACGACGCTTGCATCTGCAACACTCAATTAGCCCACACAGAATAGCCTGCACCCCAATGAACGGCGGACGATGGACGAGACCAAAGTTTCGCCTAGACCGTCTCGGCACTTATCAATGCACTTAAGAAACATGACGTTCCTAACTCGGGAAGTGATCAGCAAAAGTGTCGATGCATGTGCCGGATCATATGAGTCGACGTCCGATTCCATCCCGCATGGCTGCGTTTTCTTACAAGTATATAATTTTTTTCTCACTCGGGGCGGACTAACACCCTGTTTCCCGTCTGATGCCGTCTGATGTCCAGACAAATATGGTATCGCCATGGTCTGTGTGTAGGGAATGTTGGTTTTAGGAAGAACCACATTCGTGATTAGAACCGATTGCTACCGCACCATTTAAAATTAGGGTGGTTGAAGAAAAAAACCGATGGAGATGAGGTGAAGCGGAGCGGAGCAAGCAACGTGGGATGATGGTCTAGAGCGTTGTGGGAAAAAAAGGTCAGCCGAAACAAATTGCATGGACGGTTGTTTGGAGCTGATGCCAGGCTGTTCTTAGCGGCAAGTAAATTACCGGGCTGAGGCGGTCGGGTGGCCGCTAGGGTTGCGCACTGGCGTTGAGGCTTTATCTGGCTGACTGCCCAGAGGGATTACATATAGGTACTTACTACGTTAGGTACCTAGGTACTTTAATCTCTAATAGGTACCCGGCTGACGACTGGCGAGAGAGTTCTCCAAGTTGGGGGCGACAATAGCGGACGGCGGACGCATCTATCCATCTTATCCTATATAAGGTACATACATGTATGGCAGATTCCTCCGGATGCGCCCCCGAACGACTTGTTAGAGTGCTGATAAACGTTTTCTGCTCTTATACTACGTACATATGTGTACATGTCTTCTTACATTCTCACTAATCACTGCAGAATGTAACTGTAGATATAAGACGGAACCTTCTGCATATTTCGCACATATGTATGTAGGTACATAATATAATACCTGTACCTAGGTACTCATCCATATAATTATTTCTTATTGGCACCTTCGTATGATAAATTAGGGGAGCACAAGTAAATATTAAGCCGCTTTACGACTCTATCAATTTTTCAGGATGCCGTCTCAAATTTGACGACACGACTTATATGGATAGCGTTATATAAGAATAAAAAAGGGCGATAACAGGTACCTAACACGTGCGCTTACACAAAGATTTCTTTTAGGTGACACCCCTGGGGCCGCGAACTATTGTACATGCAGACCGGAGAAGCTGATACCTACTCATCAGCTAGATGCTACTGTCGGTAGATAAGAGCAATTGACTAGCATGGGATCAATGGTAACGTGATTAGTCGTCATCTCTCATTGGTCGAACACTCCCTGTTGCTCTTTTTTCCCTTGG